TGTACAGTTATGAACTGAACACGAGCGTCAAGCAACCGCACAGAGGACGAATTTCTTCACTCACATGTCGATCGTCATCATCATCGTCGTCGGGTGCCATATTCGTGACGTCATCAGCCTCCGATAAGTCCTTCATCACATGGGAATTGTCATCGTATGAAGGTAAGATGAGTAGAATGATGATGGCGACGATGCAGTGAACTTTGAACTTTTTCTTCTTCGCGGATTCCCTAATTACTAATTTACCACAACAGGAAAACTGTGACCTTTTTTTTCTTCATGAATTCCCTAATTTACCACGACAGGAAAAACCCACTGGACCCCCGTTTTCGTCGGCACGTACATGAAGCTGGCACCGGGACTGTGCAGATTCTCCTACGACGGATCGCTGCTGGGCGTGGTCTTCGAGAGTCACGTGACACTCTGGGATATTGTCGAGGGTAGGATGGTTGTCTGCTGCTGTTATCTTCGCGATTCGGGTTCTTTTGTTAGGTTGGTTGGATTTGATTGGTTCACCGGCCGGCCGGCTGGTTGGTTGGTTGATTTGATTGGCTGGGTGGCTTGATTGGTTGATTGGTTTGATTTGATTGGTTGGTGGTTTGGTTGGTAGGTTGATTTGATTGGTTATTAAGTTGGGTCTGTAGATTTGATTGGTTAATGGTGATTGACTCATCTATCAGTTCACTCATTTAATCATTTCTCACTCATTAACATACCAATTCATTCACACGCTCACTCATTCACTCATTTATTCGTTCTCTCACTCACTCTCGTGTAAATGTGTTAAAATTTCAGATGTATAGAATTTGGACAGAAATCGAACTCCAATGCCCTGTACGTGGCAACCAACGAGCAACTCATGTGCTGGTTCCCAAAGCCATCTGGTGATTATTTCTATCTATTATATTATTTTATTTATTTTCATTCACAAAACTATCCAGAGGGCCTAACAGACCACTTGACCAGAATAGTAAAAAGAAAATAAAAAAAAAAACTATTTACAAATAATAACATAACGTCATGAGAAATGTACAGATCTATACAAAAATGTTAATGCCGATATCATATTTTATTATTATTATTGTCAGTATTAGTAGTAGTAGTAGTAGTTGTTGTTGTAGTAGTAGCAGCAGCAGTAGTAGTAGTAATCATTTTTAAAAAATATTGTTTACTACTACTACTACTACTATTGCTACTACTACTACTCTCGCTATTGCGGTTACTACCACCGCTACCACTACTACTACTGCGATGATGATGATGATAATAACGATGATGATGACGATGGTGACGTCACAGATGTTTGGAGTGCACCGACAAGCATCACGACAATGATTGGACACAGCGGAACTCAAGAGATAATAACTTTTACTTCTGATATGAAAAGTTAGCTATGATGATGATGGTGGTGGTTGTTGTGATGATGATGATGATGATGGTTGCTGTGATGATGATGATAATGATGATGATGGTTGTTGTGATAATGATGGTGATGGTTGTTGTGATGATGATGGTGATGGTTGTTGTAATGATGATGATGATGGTTGCTGTGATGATGATGATGATTGTTGTGATGATGATGATTTTATGCTTAGACATCTGAATTTAAACAAGAGGTTGAACATTGGCCTGGATAAAAATATCCAACAGACATAGATAATGGTTATTCAATAACATTGTCTGCTGCCAACTTTGATCAAATTCATCTTCTTCTTAATTCTAAAACTTGTCCAACGTAATATAATTAGCATATGCATGTTCTAACTAACTTACAACTAAAAATGAAAAAAATTCAATGAACGAGTGAATGAATGGATGAATGAAAGAAAGAATGAATGAAAGAAATAATGAATGTATGGATGAATGAAATCATGAGTGAATGTTTGGATGAATGAAATAATGAGTGAATGAATTTATGAATGAATGAACACCTACCTATTATAATTTTGATTATAATATGATTGGCAGTTTTGATTATAATATGATTGGCAGTATAATTTTGATTATAAAATGATTGGCAGTTAATATATATGACCCGTCGTCCAGCCGACCAATTAGAACCTTCGAATGCCTCGGCTCCTCCCACATCATGGCGGCCTGCATCTCACATAACAAACTCATTTTTATTAATCAGCTGCAGGTTTGTTTAGTTTTGTCTAGTGTATCGATCTATTTTTGTATTTGTTTGTCGGTGACTGTGTGTGTGGCTGTGTGTATGTCTGTGTGTGTGTGTGTTGGTAGTTTAAGATCTTTGCAATATTAGAAGCAAGACATAGTCATATACGTTCCAACAATTCATCGACAGGAGCTGTTCATGCTGAAGCGAAAAGATGAACTCGAGGTATTTTATATACCGTCATATTTCGTTCATACCCATTCTTTCATTCATTCATCCATTCATCTATTCATTCCTTCATTCATTTATTCTTTCATCCATCCATTCATTCATTCATTCATTCATTTTTTTCTTTTTTTCATCCGTTCATCTATTCTTCTTTGAACAGGTTGTCGGAAATGCGATGTTGTTACCAAAGAAACTAGATACGTTCGTCCCGCTGACGAGTCTGTTGACTAACAACAAACTACCGACAAAAACCACAAAACGCGATGGTGATGATAATGATGATGTCGATGATGACGATCATGATGATAGGAGGAAAGTTTCCAAAGAGTTTTATGATAAGGTTGTTGTTGTTGCTGCTGTTGTTGTTGTTTTTGTTGTTGTTTCTAGTTCTTTCGTTGTTTACGCCTTAATAATAACAATAATTAATAATAATAATAATAATAAATAATAATAATAATAATTTTCTTCTTCATCATCATCATCATGATGAACACCTCAGCTGACGAACACAGCCAGTCATATGCTGCCTCCACTGAGCAGTTGGGCCTTAACCTTCATCCAGTCATTCATGAAGAAACAACTACCTGATCAGAGGTCTGTTTGTTTGTGTGTGTGTATATGTGTGTGTTTGTTTGTATCTGTGTATGTGTTTGTATCTGTGTGTGTGGGTGGGTATGTGTGTGTGCGTGTGTGTGTGTGTGTGTTATTGTTCAGTCTGAATTCAATCGCAGTTGTTTCTGATGATGATAGTTATCGGATCATGACGTAAACATAGAGAAAAAAAAATTATTTATTTTCAGTTCGTCATTCGTGGTGATGACGTCAGCAGGGTCGTCGTCATCGTCATCCAATCAGGATGAGTCTATGGAGGTTGAAAATGATGACGACGACGAGGAGAGCAAAGAAGATGATGATGATGACGACGACGATGAGGAAATGGATGAGGATGATAAAGATGATGATGACGATAAAAATGATGATGGTGGTGATAATAACGAAGATGTAGATGATGAAGATGATAACGATGTTGCTAAAGGAGCTGATGATGACGATGGTGGTGCTGTTGAAGCAATGGATTGATTGATTGATCGATCGGTTGATTGATTGATTGATTGTTTGATTGATTTATTCACATTTTTGTATAATTTATTTTCTGTACATAATTTTTTGTTAAAATAATAATGCTTGCATAAGAAATTCGGTTCTTTGTGTTAGTTTTGTGTGCATGAATGTGTCGTACATGTGTGTGTGTGTGTGTGTGTGTGTGTGTGTGTGTGTGCGTGTGTGTGTGTGTGTGTGAGTATAAGCTGGACAGACAAAATTATTTTTTACAAGATAAAACAAAACGCTCCCGAGCAAACAGCTGATTAGGTTGCCTGGCATGGCGGTTTCCACAGTAACGAACTTTAAAAACGCCACATGTGTCGTTGGAATAAAACTCCGCTGCGATAAAAATTTCTGTATTTAATTGGTTAATTAATTGGTTAATTAATTGTTTAATTAATTGGTTTATTGTTTAATTAATTTATTGTTCAAATAATTAATTTGTTCAATTGATTCATTTGTTCAATTGATTCATTAAGTTGTGCTCAGATTTGTTAGTTTGTGAATAAATATACAATTAGTTTTCAAGTAAAAATAGATTTGGCGTAAAAAAAATGTCGGCTTTGTACCGTCCATTTTAAAATGCGACAGCTTGGCTTCTGCTCGAGATATTCTATCCTAATTAAAAGGACCGCAATCTACGCTCATCTTCCAACGAAAATTAAGGTTATTGATAGGTACAACTTAAGAGTTAGCGGTTCTGGAAGAGACGAACAAACATACACACACGTACATAATGTCCCTGAAGAAACTGAACATTAGCATGCGTCCGACAGTCCACGTAAACTTTCACAACGACCCCCAAGCAAATTCCGGATCGGATCGGCCCTTCAAATCCGGCTGCTCCTACATGGATATCTACTTCACTAGCCCGTCAGAAGTTCACATACAGGACATCCAACTAAAAAACTACTACACCTACAGGATCGCCATCTTAAAACCGAAAATAGCCGCGACGTGCGGTGAAGATGGCAACGAATGCAGGTGGACCCCCTGTCTACCGTGGACTAATTTGATGACGTCAGCCCATTTAGAGCACGGGGGCGAGAGTTGTTATTCCCTGAAAAAAAAATTCGTCCATCCCGTCATTCGCCATGTCAACATGTTGAGGGTCTACCTCCAGCAGCCCTCTCCAGTGTGGCGGGAGTTCAGGGTTGAAAATTTCCAATGTTTCGGCTGCGATGTAGTGACGTCACTACATACGTCATCACCGTCGGCCTGGTTGGACTATTCCAATAGTCTGACGCTGGCGCCATTACCAGACTCATCGTCATCATTTCGTCAGCCATCGTCATCGTCTTTTGCCACGTCATCACTTCCGGAATGGTTTATAAAACCATCAATGACATCATCATCAGCGACATACACGTCATCATCATCATCATCGTCGTCATCATCCGTTACGGTACTGAGTGATAGTCTCGTTAGTCTGTTTAGTAGCATAATGACGTCATCAAGTCAGAAATAATAATGAAAATAATAATAATATTAATAATAAATAATAATAAGTGACGAATTGCCGATGGTATCATACAAAAATCTAACAAGAAACTAACAAACAATCGGCAGTTTTTTTAAATATAGAAACTGGAATAAATTCGAACGAAAAAATAAAAAATACACATATCTTATCTCTCTAATTCGTTTGGCTGGCTAGAGCGTCACTGAATTGTAGAAATTTAAATATATTTTATTGATTAATACGTCCTACCTCGGGAAACCGGGTCTCTGGACGCAAAACGAAGATTGATTTATATATTGTATTAAACAGCGTATTACACACACACACACACTCAAAAATATTAAAAAAATATACATTTATATTTGGATTAAGACAAGTCAGAAATGAAAACTATTGGAGTGGAAACCGACCACAGCATGCTCCTCGTTAAATAGCTTATTGTCTAATTTTTCGAAAAAATAAACAAGATATAATATATATATTATACATATATATGATGATGACGTATTTTATGACGTCACTAGATATATATATATATATATGTTGGTAATAGACCATAATTTTTACAATATTCTATAAGTTCTACCGAATGTTTAGCGTTAATATTAATAACATTCGGTAGAATTTATAGAATATTAAAATATATATATATATATATATATATATATGATATTAATAGCAATGGCATAAACATTAAATGCTACCTCTAAATGGCAATCTATTAAAATGTACTCATTACGTGTAATAAATTATATGTAATATATTATATGAAATATTATTTAATTTTATATTACGTATAAAAATAAACGTATAAGAATAAATAATAATAATAATAATAATAATAATAATAATAATAATATAGACTGTGCGTTGTCAGAACGAAATAATAATTATAGTTATAATTATTATTATGATAATAGTCATAATAATCATAATGAAAATAATAATTTATAGTTGTTTATTTGATCTTTGGCTCGCCAGCAACCAGTTCAGATTCAAATCCGCACTCGTTTTTCCCTCTCAGGATTTTGAAGAAACCTGGATGATGGATAATAATAATAATAAAATTTTCATTTTAAAACGTACATTGTAATTATAAAGTTAAAATAATAAAACCTATAATAATAATAATATAATAATAATAATTATAAATAATTCTTATGGTAAGAATCTGTCTGGATGGAAGAGCACTGGTTTATTTAAAAGAAATGTTAAATTTGGTGTCGGATGTTCCTAGTCAGAGATGATGTGGTAGCAATATAAATAAAGATGACTACAACAGCAAAAAATCCCCAACTCACCTCCATCGCCCCAATCGTTGTTCCACGAATTGGCCACCAACCAATAGGGAACGTTATTCTCAACACCCCAACCAATCAGCTTCACTGCATGCCCTCCTAACTCTTCCCCAGTCACGTGATGGTACACACCTGGCGACAGATAGAAAAGTTATACAAGCGCACATTTTCATTTGTCAATTTTTAAAAACTAATGAAAAGCTCGTTATAAATTAACCAAACAATAATACTTTACACACGTACATACACACCTAATCACACACACACCACACACACACACACACACAAATACACACACACACACACACACAAATACACACACATGTACACATACATATACACAGAAATACCTGATTTGTACTGCACGAAATCAGCGTACACAGTTAAGGCAGCTTCAATTGGACCATGTTTCATCAACTCCATCTTGATTTGAGTCTCAGAGCTATCTACCGAGTAAACTGACACACCTTTGATGACGATGATGATGGCGATGATGATGATGATGACGATGATGATGGCAACAATTAGTAACAACATGTAACAATGGCGATGCTGTTATGGGATTTGATATTTGCCAATATAGCGAAGATATCATATATCGTTCGAATTGCCGAAATTTTATAGAAAGGACAGTTATCACGGGAATTTAGATACCTTTTAAACATCAATTTTATTAAAATACGATGTTGCATTCATAGTCGTGCGTTTTAACTATAAGATTGTGTGATGATGAACTAGCCAGCCAGCCAACCAACCAACCAACCAGCCAACCAATTAACCAACCGACAACCAACCATAATGCTTATCTTCTTTGTAAGACAGTTTGTAACCCTCCCTACATTTCTTCGAACATTCTGGGGTCTTTCCCTCCCCCTTGCATGGGGGCCTGGTGCCGTTCACGTGATGTTCGCACGGGGCGATGCTGTATGGCCTACAACCCTGTTTGTTCGTTCGTTTGTTTGTTTGTGTTTGTTTGTGTTACTGTTTGCTTACAATTTTGCCACAAGCATTTGCTAACAAACATTACATACACATACATACACACACATACACACACAAAGAAACAGATGCGCACATACACACACCCAAACAAATGAACATACATACATAAATACATACAAACATAGAAAAAAAACATACACACCTGCTCTGAACCGTACTGGCCGCCTGTGACCAAACCAATTTTCTTGTAATACCCCCAGGCAGCCGGTGGATAACCACCATTACAACTGTGATGGAGACGATGATGGTGACGATGGTAGTGTGTATGTGTGTGTTTGTATGTATACGTCTGTCTGTGTGAGTGTGTGTGTGTTTGTATGTAAGTATGTGGCTGTTTGTGTGAGTGTGACATGGTGAGAGCGATATGTAATTGCAACTGCATCCTCCACACTAACAAAGCCAAAAACTACGACAACATTTACAACACCATCATCACCACCATAACTATAACCATAACCTTCACCACCATAAACATAACCATCATCCTCACCACCAACCCCATCTTACCCCATTCCACAGGTGGAGCAGCAAGTCAAGAGATCCTCGGCCGAAATGTGGGCATTCACTTTTCCCCCGGAAGCGATGCAAATCCTGTCCGACATCGCTGCTACTGCACCAAAAGCCTACAAATAATAATAATAATTAGTAATAATAATAATTAGTAATAATAATAATTAGTAACAATATTAATAATAATAAGAAGAAGAACCAACAACAGACCCAGCAAGAGCCGCAGGATCCCTGATCCCTAACTTCCTTGAGAGTGGGACAGTTGGGCCACTGTTCTCTCGGGTCGAATTCGTCAGGGATTACTTCGTCATCGTCCACTACATGAAATCTTTTCTTAGGTTTTTCCCCTCCCTTCAAGGCCCCGCATAACTGCTTCACATGGGAGAGTGGGAGATCTTTAAAGTTCTCTCCTGCCTAATTTGAAAAAAAAGGATTAGAGAAATTATGTGGGATTAGGCAAAATTTTGTTGCGATTGTTGAATAAAATGATGTCCCTGCAGCTAGAAATTTACACCTTTCAAACTTCATCATTATTATTTCAAAATCAAATCTGTTTGACTTATTTGTTATAATCGTTCTCACAGTTTGATAGTGTTTGTAGTATTTTTGGTATCAACTGTGCAAAACTCTATAGAGGACTACAACAGAAACAACAACAACCTTCCAAGTAGCACCGGGATAACTGTTGATGTAGTCGATCATGGACTGGCTGAGAGGTTCGGGGTACATGGAGGACACCGTTGACGAGATGAAGAGAAAAAACATTACTACTCTTTGCCACATTTTTGCCATTTTTCTTGATTTAATTGGAAAATGTAAAAATTTAAAATTTGACAATAAAAACCCAAAAACAGTGAGTAAATTTTAAGAAAAATTATTAGATTGAGTTGAATCGAATAATAATAATTGACATTGAAATTTTGAACTCTTTGAATTGAAGAATAAAATTTAGTTTATTAATTTGAATATAATTAAATATAAATAAATTGCTAAATTAAACTTTATAAACAAATTTAATAAACATAATAATAAATGAATTTATTTACAAAAAAATTATACAAAAAACAATCTTTTTTAGAAATTAAACAAAACAAACAGGCACTTCAATGCAAAGTGCAGAGATCAATCAGTAAGAAATGTCCAGTTTTTAAATAACGATGACCAACAACGACTCTAATTTATACCTTTACAAATACAGATGAATATATACTCTTTATATATATATATATATATATTTAAATATATGGCAGGGTCAGAGGTACCCCAGCACTAATCACTAATTAGGCTCAAATCAAATGACAATCACACTGAAGATGTACAATGCATCATATGATCCATTATCATGTGTTCTAGCAAACAAACAGTAGAGAAGATGTGCTAAAAATATTTTATTTAATGATTATTTATTCACAAATTAAATTGTTGATACATTATTAAATAATTAACTTGATAAATGTTAGAAATTAAATTTTGATTTTAAATCCAAGTTTGACGTTTTAATTTGTATGATTATGCGAGAAAGACTGACTCAAAAAAAAGTCTTTTCTCTAAGTCATCTTTTTGTATGAAAGGGAAGAAATTTGACATTTAATTAATCAGAATTTGTCATATTATAAAAGAAAATGCTAAAAAAGTTAATTTGATAAGTTTTCTTACGTGTTTATTAGCTGAGCTAATGAAATATATGAGTAACTATCACGTCAGAACATCCCACCAGATAAAAATTATTTAAATATGGGAACATCCCTACTTTCGTGAAATCCCTTTTTAACATTAGTTCGCGAAATTTAAAGTCCAAATCATTTTTTTTTTATTTAAATATGTTTTTTAGGTGTCTAAAAAATGAGCTCCGCTAAAGAATTAGCTAGGTAGAATAGTATTAATATTATTTTAAAAAACATCTCCGGAAAAATATTCGTCAATCTGACTACCTCACTACTACTGTTATAATTAAATTTTGATTAGTATTACTATTAGTTGTCAGTCAGTCAATCAATAGTAGAGTAGAGTGGAATGCATTAATTATTAATATTAATAAAAAATTTAAAACCGTTTTATTATAATTAAAATTTAATTATATTAAACATTTTTTATAGAGGATAAAATAAAATAAAAAAATTTATCAATTAATTAATTGCTGTTTAATTTAATTTAAAATTTTAACAGAGAGTTAGGAGTATTACGAAAGAGAAAAAGATTAGAAAATGACGTCCACTCTGGCATTCAGTCAACCAAAAGTAATAAAATTAGATTTTCTATTTTTTGCTCCTAATACCTAATTGATTACCTTTTTATTTGTTTTGTTTATGTCCCTAATTTACTATTTATCACCCAATTTTGTATTTTTTTTGTCGTATTTATTTCATGAAATGGTTTTTAAGACCTTATATATCTAAGGAGTACCTTTTCAGTAGCATATCTCTAGCTTTTCCTAATTTTAGTTGCACCTTTTTCTAATTTTATGAAATTTATTTTAAATGTAACACTAACTTGACATACTTTATGATTAGTTCATTTCTGTCCCAGTTCAGCCTTTTGATTACCTCGTTGTTTTGGATTTTGAGTCGACCTGCTGGCAGAAGGACAAGTTCAGGAGTCAGGAAATTAGTAATGAAATTTGGAATTTAAATTAATATCTAAGATAAATTGAATAGTTAATCTCTCAATTTATCAATCATTCAATCAACAAACAAATCATTCAATCAATCAATCATTTTGGATTTTTTGCCATTTTACCAAACTCATAAAGTTGTAAATCAGTGAAACACAATCAACTTTTCTAACAACAAGCTGTTCCATCATAATTGAACTAATCAATCAACCAGTCTTTCAATCAACCGATCAATCAACCGATCAATTAACCAACCAATCAATCAACCAACCAATCAACCAACCAATCAACAAATAAGTCGAATTTCCCGCCGTTTTACTGAACGTCGAGAGTGGAGAGATAGTTGGGGAATTCCAATATTATGTTCAACCTCAGGAGAATCCGGTACTTAGTGAATTCTGTATACAGTTGACAGGTATTAAGCAGGTTCGTGTTTGTTCGTTCGTTCGTTTGTTTGTTCTTCCGTTCGTTCGTTTGCCTGTTTGTTAGATTGTCATTATTTAACAAACAAACAACAACAACAGAATCAAGTGGACGACGGCATACCGCTGAATATGTGCTTGAGGAAGTTCGTCAGCTGGTTGAATCAACATTCCAAGGAGAAACGATTCAGTTTCGTGACGTCATCTGTGACATCGTCGTCCGTGACGTCATCTAAGATATCATCATCGTCCTCTATGACGTCATCATCGTCCTCTGTGACGTCATCATCGTCGTCGTTTGCTTGTTTCGTCACTTGGTCAGGTTGGATATCTTAAAATTTTTTCTAGTTTCATTCGTCATTGTCATTTGTCCGCTCGTTCGTTCTCTTTTTCTCTCATTCATTCATACTTACACACGTAAACACTCACACACACACCACACACACACAAACAAACACACACACACAGACTGGGACTTGGGCATATGTCTACATTACGAATGCAAGCGCAAGCAATACACCCGACCACAGCAATTAGACTACTGGATTGATTTGAAAGCTGTCTACAGGGTTGGCTGGCTGATTTATTGGATGATCTATTGGATGATTGATTGTTTGTTTGATTGATTAGATGGTTGGTTGATTGATTGACCGATGAAAAGGTTGATTGGTTGACGGGTTGGTTAATTTGTTGGTCGATTGATTAAAAGACTGGTTGATTGGTTGGTTGGCTCTTGGCTGGTTGGTTGATTGATTGGTTGGTCGGTTAAACTAACACCACCACCACAACAACAACAACGACGACAACAACGACGACAACAACAACGACATAACTTTCAGAAATTCTACAATAGAAAGCCTCAAGGGCTGAAGGGAGCTCTCCAAGAGGTCGGCATCGTATTCGAGGGTAGAGAACATTCCGGTAAGTTCTACCACCACCACTACTACTACTTCTACTACCACTACCACTACTACTACTACCACCAATACTACTATTACCACTACTATCTTGGTTAAGAACTAATCGAATTGATTACATTACAACAAATAAATGTAGCGAACCTAGCAAATTATTGTTATTATTATTGTTATAAGGGCTGGATGATTCTCGAAACACGGCCATGCTAGTGCGAAAGATGATAAAGGATGGATGCCAGCTGACCATCACTAAGTCCATTCATCAGGTTGTTGATGTTATTATTGTTGTTGACGTTATTATTGTTGTTGTTATTATTATTGTTGTTGTTATTATTTTCTATTTACTAATTCTGAAGAATGTGAGTGTAACAGTGCTGAACAACGAACTGATTAGGAAAAAGTTGCATCAACAACAACAACATCAACAACAACAACATTATCAACATCAACAACAACAACAACGTAAAAGTGAAGAAATGACAGTCGTTTCTAAACCTTGCGTCACATTAATTCTTCCCGTGTCAACAACAACAACAACAACTCCGTCATCGTCAACATCATCAATTACGTCATCAGTGACGTCATCAGTAATTTCTACATCATCATCATCAACAACAACAACAGCAGCAGATAATAGTTGGAATGTTGATGATGACGGCATTGATGATGATGATTTATTATCATTATATGCGATTGGTGATGACGATTCGTTGCCATCTCTACCATCATCATCATCTTTAGCATCATCGTCGTCATCATCATCGCTGATTGCGTCATCATCATCGTCGTCATCACCATCATCATTGATTACGTCATTATTGATTACGTCATCATCCTCGTCGTCCCCACCTTCAAAAAAATTTAAATCATCATCGTCATCTCAACAAAATCAACAACAACAAAACATAAACAACAACAACCACAACATCAGCAGCAGCAGCAGCAACAACAACAACAGCAAATCTAAAAGCACCATCATAGCCAGGCAGCTGATAAACAGCAAATGCGTTGACCTTCTGAACAGAAACAAGCAATACGTCGTTGCCAGCTGTCAGCAGATACATACAGCCTACAACAACATCTACGACAACAACATCTACAACAACAACATTTTGAAATTTGGACAGCAACAACAAAGAAGACCAAAGTTAAGTAATATTACGAACACTTACAGCCATAACAACAACAACAACAACATTAAAACTATCATAAACAACAACTCAGTTGCATTAAACAAATTCAGATCATTCTACATTAACGACGGCACTTTTCTCACGAGCAACAATACGTCAACAGTTAATGTCGCGACATCAACAGCAAACAGCAACAACAACTCTACGCTGACATCAACAATTTGCAACAACCACAACAACAAAACATCAATTTACAAAAACTCCATCGCAGCCTCAACTACATCAAACAACAGCCTAACTGAAAGTTCTAGCAATTCATTTCACAAGTTATTTACCGGGCAAATTTTTACTAATTCAACCGATGACATCAACAACAACAGCAATAATAGTGACATCAAAAACCACGTCAACATTACTAACAACAACAACAACAACAGTAGTGACATCAAAAACCATGTCAACATTACTAACAACAACATCAACATTAGTGACGTCATCGTCAACAGCAGTAGCAGCAACAACAAAAATGACATCAGCGAAACAAGTGCCAGCGAGATGAAGTCCAGCTCCGGCGCATCAACGACATCAAAAACGTCGAATTTTCCAACCAAAGCATCAACGACGACACCTACACTAAACACATTAATGACGTCATCAAAAGCGTCGGTGACGTCATCAACGACATCGGGCCGCGTTATAGTCCAGTTGTCAGAGATGCAGGCTTCTCATTTCAAAACATCACCATTGCTGCCACCTTTTTCATCATCATCAACGCCACCATCATCATCATCATCCTTATTGAAACCATCACCATTTTCAACAACACCATTTTCATCGAAGTTTTATTATATAAGATCACCATCGTCATCGTCGTCGTCATCATCGCTTTCAACATCACCACCATTTCCAATGAAACCGTCATCATTTTCAACACCATCGTCATCACCTTCTTCTTCATCATCATCAACACCGGCATCATCATCATATTCATCGTTATTTAAATCTCCATCATTCTGTCATGTGTCACCACCATCATCATCATTTTCATCATCATCATCGTCGTCGTCGACACATCAGCTTTCCTCCACGCATATTCAGCAGCAGCAACGAACGGCTCCACTTTGTAGTTGCGGCAGTCGTAGCAAGAGGAAAATCGTCAGAAACGGCGGCTCCAATCATGGAAGAACTTTCTTCACCTGCCCCAAAAAGAACCCGTGCAAATTTTTCCAATGGGAAATTAACAATAATAATAATTCGTTCTTTTCATCATCGTCGTCATCATTTCCACCATCTTTTAATCACTCATCATCATTCAATCATTCGTCTGAGTTGTGCCCTCTCGATGGCCACGTCTTTCATACTAACAGATATAAATGCTAATCATGATGTTAAGATCTTATTCTTGTAACCTTATGACGGATTTAAATTTACACTCTTATAATCTTTGATCATTGAACTTGATTGAGATGCAATTTTTTCATAGAATAAATTTTGAAAGGCAATGTTTTAACATTTTCATTGAGAATACCGAACAAACTTTCACGCGGCTTAAATTAAACAACAAAAAATTTATCAATACTTGTATGATGATGAAAAACAATTTAACAAAAAAATTTATCAAATGCACAAAAACGCTGAATCAATCTTCCTTGACAACGTGCCAGCCACTGGAAGCCGATGACGTCACTTCATTCTTCGGACCAATCACGGCCACCGACGCCTTCGACTGCTCCGATAAATATTTATCGGCCACATGAACGACATCATCTTTGGAAACTTGGAAAATTCTGCGCCTGTACTCCTCAAACATCTCCTCGCTGATACCCTGCATGAACAGTCTCGTCCCTTTGTTTCCAGGCGAGATGGGCTTGTCGACAGATGAGAAGAGAGATAATTTGGCTTCACCGACGTCAGCGTCCTTGAACTGCCCACCACAGGCCCAATCAACGGATTTAGAGAATGATTCAAGTGATCGGGTTAGGTTAGGATCTCGGTAGGAGTAGAAACTGAAGCAATTCGATCCGGCATCTGCCCCTCCTCCGTAGGCACCCCCTTTCTCCCTCACCTCCCTGTGCAAATATTTGGAGGAGAGTATCTTTGCCAGGACCTGCAGGGGTACGTAGTGAGGATGTGCGAATGGGACGGTTAGGAAACTTTTCCCTATGAAGTTGACCTGGAATGGGAACTCCAGATGTGTGCGACTGTATGAAGGTCTGAAGGAAGATTCGGATGCGTACCTTATCTCGTCACTGGGTGTGTTTGTGTCGCCGCCTACGGAACCACCGTCCTTGATAGACTTCGAATTGTGATTTTTGATTCCAAACATGTCGACTTCCCTGTAGAACTTCTCGAGTTCCTTCAAACTCGTGTCAACAATTTGTGAGTCTGCTGCGTTTATGGAAGCTCTCAAACGACCAGGAGATGATAGAAGGATGTGGTCCGCAATTTCTTTCAACACTCCCAACAGCATGTCGACCTTCTGGACGTCGAACATTTCCTCAGATCCAGGCGAACTGCTAGACAATAATGTTACGAGATTCTTAATGAATCCCAGCTGCGTTACTCCAGCCCAGGACTCCCGAAGACCAAACGAGTGACCGAGACTGGAGGATGATCTTATCATGGCGTACCTATGCCCAGCTGAGGGCAGGGTTGATGCACCCTCTGCTGCCAGAGTGCTCATCAAAGTGTAAAACCTTTCACGATCGACGAGCGATAAAGAAACGAAGATATCTGACCACAACCTCATCATGTCATTCAGGTTGCTATCGAGGCAGTAAGATGAGAAAGCGACAGAACACTGGAAGAAATCAGGATGAGAAGGATGATCGCACAGGAACGCACTTGCTTCTAATCCACCCGTCTTCAAATCCATCTGCTCACCTTGCTGCCTGTAATCTAACTCGCCAGCTCCCATCTTTGTGACGATTTTACAAAAGAGCGGGAGATAAGGTTTCAATTTTGCGGCCAATGAACTTGCATCGGATACCATTCTGAGGTACACGATGCCGTTCGTGGGCTGTATGCAAGTTTGCACGGGCAATATGGACTTCCTGTACCTCTCGTTGACTGCCTTCTCGTAGTTGTCGATGCACTCGTCTGCAGTGGCGGTCGTGCTGTTGAATGCGATCGATCTGCTGCCCTTCGATGATATGTCGACCAGAACTCTACCTGCATCGGTTTTCTCGTACTGCTTCGGTATGTCGGAGATGTCGAGAGAGGGCAGGCAACTCACATCCTCTGGGATCGATTGCAGTTTGGCAAGTTCGAGTCCGTCGTTGTATATCTGTTTTGCGGCGTTTGTGAGGGTTAATTAATAATAAAATGATTGATTTACTAGAGTTACTAAACTTACCCTAACTCATCAAATCGAAGAAAGTCCCTTACCTCCTCCTTCTTAACATCAGATAAAGAGGACACCAGCTGTTCGAGTAACTCCTCCTCTTCCTTCTTTCGACCAATCAGATAACTTGGATCGGATTCGGAGATAAGCGTGAGTTTGTGCTTGTTATTTTTGAGGTATTGGCTTACCAAAGATTGTAAATAATCCGGCTCGATTGTTAGCCTATGCTTCAGCTCTTCTACCAGTTTTGAGATCTTTGTTTTTGTCGAAATAATGACAATAGTTTCAATTATAATGACAATATTAATGAGAATGGCGACGATTTTGAAAATGATTGTGATTCAAATCATCGAACTGATGTTGAAAAAGTGACGAAGACACGAAAGAAATTAATAGAATAATGAACAAGTTAACCATAATCTCTGGAAATTAATATAATCAGAGCGAAATAAATTACTGATATTGTAAAAGATTCACAAAGAAATAAAATCTGAGTATTTTAAGATCAATCAGCCAGGCAGATAGACAGAAAACAAATAAGTAGAAAGACAGTCGTAAAAACATAGTAAAACAAACAGACAGATGAGTAGAAAGATAATGAAACAGAGAGATAGGTAGAGAGGCTGCCAGACATAGACAGACGGGCAGACAGACAAACGGGGAGGGAGACAGACAGACGAACACAGTCGAACGGACACCTGCAATAATTGTATGGGATCTGCTCCGTGGTTCCACTCCGATATCAAGGACATGATCAAGTTCAGACCATATCTGAAGGTGAAGGTCATTAGGAAATTTAGTAGCAAGTTGATGAAAAAATAATTGAGTGACGAAAGTATGAATGAATGAATAAATAAATTGACGATTGAATGAATGAGAGTAACAAAAGCTATACAAATATATTGCATGAATGGTAAATAATGTAAAAAAAATAAATGATAAAAAATATAAGTATAAATATAAATATATAAAAAATAAGTAAAAATGCAATCAACAACAACAACAACGTGGAGAACAAGCAATGGCAGACAAAAAACGAGAAATCTACAACCTTTCGGTTTGGTGTTTGATCGACAGCTGGATTTTATGCATGACCGCCTCTATCTGGTTCTCGCTGAAGCCTTCCTTTATAATTTGGTCGATTGTTGATTCGATGGTAGACAGAACTTCCTGCACGTTTGATCTGAGTGAATGAATGAATGAATGAATAAATGAATGAGTGAATTAGCGGAAAAGAATGAAAATTGAAAAGAGAGAGAGAGCAAGAGAAAGAAAGAATGAAAGACGAAAAAAAGAAAGGTGAGTTATGGTAGAGATATGAAAAAAAAAATTAGATAGCAGAGGAGAGAGAGAGAGAGAGAGAGAGAGAGAGAGAGAGAGAGAAGGAGAGAAAGGAGAAAAAAACACAAATTAACTTTTAATACTTTTAATATGTATACATAAATATTTATATCATAATCTCAATCAACCAGATACCTCTTATTATTTAATCATATTCAAACATCAGACAAAAAATGACCAACTGACTGAAAAACCCCCAAACCAACCAACCAGCCAGCCAGCTAGCCAGCCAACCAACCAACTTGTTAACTCTCTGCAATCCCACACTGAAACTGGTGTCCCTGGTATGGTTGCTGTATCCCGTTCCCGGCGAGTAATCAGATCCCAATCCTTGTTATCCGAATGTAAAGAATAAATGACAATTTAATGAAGAAATTATACCATTGAAATCATTAAAACGATTTCATTTGAAATTTTTTCAATTATTTTGTTCAATTGTCTGGATAAATCTGTGATGAGTAGGACAAAGACGATCGCGATCATTGAACCACATAAGAGTGAATTGACGATAATAAAAATAATAATTGTCATTTTATTATCATTGTTATCACTTTCTATCATCATCACAATACATCATCATCATCATCAATAACGACAACACCATCATTATCAACAACACCATCATCATCAACAACGACAACACCATCATCATCAACAACGACAACACCATCATCATAAGCCTCATTGTGAAAGCTTCCGAACAAACAAACCTGATTCAATGAGAGCCTGATAAAACGGGGCTTTGTCACCTTGAAGTAAAAGATTGCCTAAAAAGGAGAGTTCGAACGATTCTTGCAAGTTTCTGATATCACAGAGTAAATAACTTGTCTGATTAGTGGATAGAGAGATGGATGAATGAACGATTGACAGATTTGTTAGTTAACAAAAGGATGAATGAAAAAAACCCAACACAACAATTGATAATGTAAATAAAATTTATTGCATAAAATAGATGATTGATTCAATGAATCGACCTTATAACATCTCCAACCTAAATCAGCTCATCACCTAACCACTCGCTCAATCTATCACCTCCATCCACACACCCCCTCCTCACAGAAACAATAGTATCAGCCTGGGGATCTGGCGACATGAGATCGACTGGGCACTGAACAGTTGACACCAGAGGGCTAGTCCACCTCTTCTCAGGGTGAACCACAGTATCAATAGGACCCCGGATAAACTTTGAAAGCGCAACACTGTCTATGATGAATAAATGCTTATCTAAGGGCATATCTCCGTATGTGAAGAATCTAGAATTAGATGGGTGGTAGTGGCGAGAGTGAAATGACTTCAACTGCTTCCATGTTAGTTCAGGGATGTGCTTGGGGTCGCCACCGGAGATGACTCCGTACGTGCCTGAAGGAAGGAGTCGATTCTGAAGTGCTTGTTCATATACCTGATGTGGATCACTGAAAACTCCTTTCATCTCATTGTACACAACACCTTTTCAAATAATAAACTTCTTAACGCCATATTAACTAAATACTTATTATTAATAAAGTTACAAGATTTAGGTAAAATAACATTTTTAAACAAATATCTAAATTAAGAATGTTGAAAAATAGAATAGTATTTTGGCAAACTTTAATAAATTTAAAGTTTTAATTATTAAACAAGCTGAAAAAAATACCTTTCAAAATGATTGGACTTGATTTGTCATCAACATTTTCATGCTCCAATCTCCAACCTTCTTGATGAAAATCATTACGCCTCAGCCTCGGGAAGAAAACAGCATCCAGGTACACCAAGAGAAGGTTTTCAAAATCTTTGGCATTCTGGGATGAGAACGGGTACATGGTCCAATCACTTGCCGTGAACGCATTCATGAAAGTCGAAGTTGACCGAGTTAACATCTTGAAGAACGGATCTCTAACTGGAAATTTTTCGGATCCGCAGAGCGATACATGCTCTAATATGTGGGGCACACCCGTGCTGTCGTGGGGTGTCGTTCGCAGGGACACAGCGAAAACGTTCTCAGCATCCTGCCTACTGATGTGCAAATGTTCGGCCCCAGTCTTATGTATGAGATGTATGGCTGTCAGGTTCAGCTCGGGAACAGGTGTGACGGCCGTGACGCGGTAGTTGTGAAGCTGGTCACCGGTTTTCAAGTTAGTAATAGTTTCAGGCAAAACATTACCCTTCTTACTCTTCAGAGACGATGACGAAATTGCATGACATTTTCTTTTCAAAAAATTTGAAATTCTAAAATATCGCGCAGCGCTAGACATGATTGCGATCGGTAAGTTTATGTGTTACTAAGATAATTGTTCAAAATGATCTCTCATCCATCATCTAACTCCAATTAACGCGTAAACTCTTTAAGAATTAAATTTGTGACACTGAACTTAGCTTCCAGCTCCCCCACGACCGACCTATATATTATGCGCGCGGAGAGATCGTGAAAAGAGAGAGAACCCAGTGGTGAATGCGTGGCAGGTGTTCATACATGTTATGCTACTAGAAATTGTACAGCTTTGTAAGTAACGTATGTATGAACAATGATTAAACAAGGTACAGAAATACACGAGCGGCTTCAAAAAACATTTCTACCATTTATTTAGAATAGAATCTTTTTAAAAATATTTCATCAACCAATAGAACAGAGGGTGTTCAAAACTCGCAAAACAGAAACATTTCATCGTGCGTCGTATCACGGAGAAAGTTGTTTTACCATTCATAATTGCGGCATCCAAAAAATATTCTTACCAGTTATGTAGAATTAAATTACCTTTCTAAAAATAAATCAGCCACCAAAAAATGTGTTCAAAACTTGAAAAACTGAAATATTTCATTATGCTTCGTATCATGGTTGTTATTGTAATGTAAGGATTCAACATTAATGTTCAAGAATTGCCTAGTTATTTTAGTTTTGGGTTTTTCGTTCATGCCATTCTTGATAACGCCAGTTAAAACGTGCATCTGAGTCCCCTCTATAGCTAAGTCGTCGTCATAACGAATATATATTTAAAAAAAAAACAAACTCAGCCTCAAGTTTGTTCATTGTGGCATAATTGACGATCATACCTTATCGACTTACAGATGATTTATAATAAATTCCTTAGAAAAACACACTCAGCCTCAAGTACGCTTTATTGTCATGTTTGATGCTCAAATTTTATCGACTTACTGACGCCATATAATAAAGTCCTTAAAAAACGAATAGTCACAAGTTTAGTATTGTGTCAAACTTTATCGACTTGACGCCTTTTAATAAATTCACAAAAAACACGCTCAGTCACAAGTTTAATTAATTAATTTAATTAATTTGTTTAATTAATGTCCTCTGACGTTCAAAACCTTAACGACTTACTGAAGCTCTATCAGAAATTCTTTAAAAAACACGCTGTCAAGAGTTTGTTTTTTGTATCATATCAGAAGCTCAAACCTTAAAAAGTCATGCTCCGTCACAAGTATAGTCACATATCTGATGCTCAAACCTTATCGACTTACCGAAAGCTTATATAAAAATCCCTAAAAAAAACATGCAGTCACAAGTTTAATTTGTCCTATCTGACGCTCAAACCTTATCGACTTACGAATCTATTATAAAATATAAATTTTCTAAAAAATACGCTCCATCACAAGTATAGTTTTTTGTGCCATATATGACGCTCAAACCTTATCGACTTACCGAAAGCTTATATAAAATTCCTTTAAAAAAAACACGCTCAGTCACAAGTTTAATTTGTCATATCTGCCACTCAAAACCTATGGACTTACAAATTTAATATAAAAAACACGCTCGGTCTAAATTTAGACATGCATACGAAATATAAAAATACTCAAAAGAAATAACTATGTAAACGCTACTTATAAAAACCTCAACTCCCTATTTTAATGATAATGCATCTTATCTAGCAAAATATTATTTCTAAATATTTAAACAACCGAGACATTTCCTAGAAACAACAAAAGTAAAAGTCAATCAACTTCCCAGTTTAATGATAGTGCTTCTCAGTTTAAATTTAAAAGATTCAACCAAACAAAAGAAGGATTTTCTGTAAGCACTGCTCTTACAAAGTAACTCCAATTTCTCAACACAATGGAACAATGATCTGATGGGAATTTAATTTTTAAAGAAGCACTATAAACTAAAAGCACTGCCTTTACAAAGTTACTGCCTTAACGTCAACTCACTACACCAGCGATAAGATAATGCTATTGAAACTATAAAAATTATTTAAATGCCACTATACAATCCCTTCATTGAAAATGATTTCCAAATTTTTAAATTGATCTACATACAAACTTGTTTATTCATTTTTTATAATCTAATTATCCGAATCTTAACATATTAAAACATTTTCTGTTAACTAGGTCTAAGAATAGCACAAGTTGACAAAAGCTCAACATGTTCAATTTTCATAAGAACAACATGATCTAAAATACTTAAGTGTTAATAAGCTCTTAACTTTGCTAATTACATAAAATAAACATTATACAAAAATTGTTTTTTAAAGAAGAACTCTCAACTTAGTAAATTACATAAACACTTTATAAAAAATGTTTCTTAAAAATAAACAACATGTTCAAATTTCTAAAGAACGTTTAAGTCAATAAACTGCTTTCAACTCAGTTAATTACATAAATATTTTATTAGAAATGTCTCTTAACAATGAAGAAAATGAACATGTTCGATTATAAAAGTTAATATTTATAATAAATAAGCTCTCAACTTAGCTAATAAGTTAATAACTAAATAACCATTACATTACTTACACATTAGATTACACAATACAGATACACATATAATATATTCATATAAAGTTTATAAACTTTTACAAAACAAAACGCATGAAAACAATAAAATTAGAAAACCTTTTTCGAATTCGAGTAAAATCTTCTTTTTAGATGAAAAACTAAAGTTTTTTCTTTATTTGACGGAGAAAAAAATAAAAATGTCCATCGCAGGACGCCCGGTTCTTTGAATGTTTGAAAACGAGGACCAATCACGATAGCCACTTAGCTAGCGGCTACTTCTCAGGTAACGCAAGAATCTGAGATGTCCCGAAAGTTATTCAGAACTTTTTAACCGAATATACGAATGCAAAACTGTACTTTTTTAAAACCACAAAATGACTTTTTTCACGCAATACACTACTCATTTGAATAATTTTATTTCTATTTTGTTTGATAAAAGAAACATTATAGAATTAGCACTCTCACAGAATGAGGTTTCACCTTGATAAAATCACTCGTTGCAACTTTTTTCAGCTTCTGGCAAGTGACTGAACGATAACATTGAGAAAAAAGGATCATTTTAGCTTATTATCTAAATTTCATCATCGGATATTTTTTGATTAAAACAAAATCAGCCAAGATGGTGAGAGCGCGGAGGAAAAAACATCCTTTCGGCCAAAACTTTCTGTATAAGCATCCAAACTTCTGAAATTTAAACACATCTGGGCAACCATCCTATCCAAGTACGTACAAATCCGGTATATACACGATACACATATATATATAAGTGATATGTATATATCATCTATGGAGATGTAAAAGCAATAAGACAACTCGCTAGCACTTTCTTTACATACAATGTTTATTCAAACGCAGAAAACAATATCAAATACCTAAACTCCAAAGACACAACCAATTATATGTTTACACGTACATAAGCATACGAGGGCTATATACACATGCCTAAATATACCAGTCCCAAGAATCAGCCATCACATTAAAATCAATAGGTATACAAACAACTTAAATACATCATGCCATTGAATAAATACGATCACTATTTACAGACCGTTCAATTTTAACAAAGTTAACTTGAACTAAATAAATTAAAGAGACAAGTTAAAAGTAAGCTGGTCTGATGATTGTTTAAACAAGCTCAATGTAATAAATTTATTCAATAATTGTATACATTTGTAAAGTTATCAAGAAGTTTGACATCAGAAACTTATTAGACATTAGCCATAGATACAGTATATGAAATTAAACTAATTAACAATGCATAGATTTCATACAAACGGCTAATACAAATATCGTTACAACATAATTAAACCTATGAGATCCAAATGGAACAAATGAAATAAGGCTACGGACAAAATAATGTCATTATATGCAGTACAGACAGGCACAAAACATACACACAACAAAGTACTGGAATATTAAATGTTCATATCAAAAAATGTAGAAAAAGAAAACAGGCAACAGTTTTACAAAAAATGTTAGCTAGGAAGAGGAGTTAATTAATCACTGTCCTCTTCTTCCTCGTCATCTTCCTCATCTTCATGGTTCTCATCATCTTCTTCCTCGTCGTCGTCATCATCTTTCTGAGCTCTGCGCTTTTTTGCAGGGGGCTTGGCCTTAGCCTTTGAGGCTTTCTTTGAGACTGCTTGCTTTTTAGCCGGAGCAGCAGCGGCAGCTGAGGCAGATGCGCCCGATCCACCATTGTACGAAGCCTTTTCCTGTTAGCAATTACAATAATAGTTAAAAAATAAAATGGGAATTTGATAGTAATATTATATAGAACTATGATTTTTAAAATATGATATGTACAACAGAAAACAAATGTGATACAAGTGATGCATCAAATCATTGTTCCTGTCATTAAATGATTTTCCTGCTGTACACTATGTTTTGTCACATTGTTAGTGGCAAACACAAATTAGGCAGGTTGATTAGAAAATGAAATTTATTAATTACCTTTTCGTATCTCTCTTTATCCTTTGCCGCCATGGCTTCGTACTTATCTTTATTCTTGCACACCTCCCATCTCTTGCCTAATTCCTTGGCAACTTCTCCTATGGACAACGATGGGAATTCCGCCTTAACTTTTGCACGCTCCTCGTTCGAAAAACAGAAAAAGGCAGATAGTGCCCTCTTTGGTGCATTGGGGTCTTTACTTCCCCTCTTCCTTTTCTTTTCACCATTGGTCGGTACGTAATCAGCCATCTCCTCTTTGTACCGCATTGAATCCTTGGCAGCCAACTCTTCGTACTTCTTTTTGTCTTTGTCTGACATATTCTGTAAATTTTTGTAAGTAAAATTATCAGCCATTATCTATCAAACATGTGTCTTGGTGTAAACAAATTATTTATTTAAAAAGCAAACGAAAGCTATCAACAAAATCTAATTAAAAAATAAAATAAATCACAAACCTTCCATTTTTCGGAAGCCTGTTTTGAAAATTCTGAGAGAGACAGTGACTCTTCGGGATTTTTCTTTTTTCTCTCTTCCCGTGTTGCCTGCATGAAGAAGGCATAGGCCGACATCTTGCCTTTCGGTTTTGCTGAATCTTTAGGAGCTCTACCCATTTCGTAGTTTAATCTATCAAAATAAAAATTATTATCCAGTAATAAAACGAAGAATTTGATATTATTCAAATTAAATATTTACAAAACTAAAAAAAATAGGCAGAAACAGAAGAAATATAATGTAAATATACGTTCGAAATAAAATCTGCCAAAAACGTGCGCGATCTGATCGCGAAATCAACAACCTTAATTATGAATAAACTACACTAAAAAAAGGGAAAATAATTAGAAAAACAATTCTAAACTAACCGATTAAAAATCAGGAAATAATCAAGAAATAAATTGAAGAAATTTGATGAAATTCCCAGAAAATTGCCGAGAGAAATGATCAAGCGAGCGATCGAGCTGTAGAACGGAATGTGAATACTCGTTTGCAAAATTGCGCCAATATATAGTATGAGTCGGCGCTTCCTATTAGCTGCAGGCCCTAATCACCGACCAATCAGAATCTTCCTTGCATGCAATGAACTTTGTACGGTGTTACATTATGCACTGTAATTTAATTAGGCTGATTATTATACTATGGTTGTAAAAATTTATTATATTTAATTATTATACTAATTTGAGCTATGTGATTGTAAATAAATGCAGCCAAAGTTTATTCTCGTAAATTAATTTTATTAAAAGTTCTATGAATTTACAACTTGCGCAAGAATACTAATTTAGAAGAATTTACAAGCAATTTTACAATTTACTAAGCTGTAACTACGAAATTTAGAAAACAATTTTTTGTTTCTACAGTTTGATAGTTTTCATTCAAATTCAACACAAAAAAACTACACATAAAACCGTAATCAAAATTTCAAAATAGCACGCAAACTCTTGTTTTAACTAGTATGTATATGTAAACATCAATATATTATTATTTGTAATAATAACAATAATAATAATAATTATATTAGTATTAATTTTTAAAAGCCGAGAAACTTAGCGAATTTGTATTTGTGATAGTATGGCCATAATAAGGCTTATCACAACGTTCCGAGCGGATCAAGACCCTTTATCTGTGAAATTTATCAAAAAAGCTGTTGAAAATTGCAAAAATAGCGTTTTAATTTTTGTGATTAATTGTTTGATTGATTGTTTAATTGACTGTCTAAATTATTGTTTGATTGAGGATTTGATTGATTGATTGATTTAATTCACAACCAAAAAACAACATGACGTTCCGTATTTAGTTATTAGCCTCACTTGCTATGGAACACCTGTCTAATGTCATTTAAAGATGAAGTTGTGTTGCGATTTTTTTTGAGTCTGGAATCTTTCAATTTGTTTGCGTTTAAAAATTAAAATTTTGCATTTAGAGATTTTTTTAAATTATTTTTTTTCGTATTTAGTAGTTAAATATTAAGTCCTGTAACACTTGTTCATCTAACCAACACCTTAGAAAAGCTAAAAGTAAGTTTTCTATATTTTTTATTTTAAATTTTTATAATAGAATTCAATTCAAATTTTACATTAAATTATTAAATTAATTTAAATTAAAAAAAATTTTTTTGACCGAAATGGGAATCTTAATAAATAATCTAAACTAGCAATTCTAAAAGTTGAAATTCTTATCAATTTTGACTTCTTCATTTAAAATACCTCTATTAGTATTTTACATACAAAGTTATCTAAATTTAAATTGCAATTATTAAACATTAGTTATTAATTAATTAAAAAACTACAAAAGTTTTCCACATGTGCAGCTAGTGACCAAAAAAGAAAAATTTTTTGTGAAAATGTTTGGAAAATGAATAATTGAACCAAAATTCAAATAAATTTGACTGAATATTGAACAAGCTTAATTTAAAGAAAAATGTTTAAATCCTCCCAACAAAAAGAGGATTCTTCTTCCTCGACAACGAAACCACCCCTCTCAACCACTGTCACTTCAACTGCATCATCAGCTGTCAAATCGCTCAACAGCAAACTGCCATTTTTTAAGAAGAAAATAAAATCAACTGCAGCAGCTGATTCAGCTGTTAATAATGACCAGGGCACATCCCTGAACACCACAACACCACATTCACAACCCCTGCAAACCTCAATGCATATCACTAAAGTTAGTTGTACCAGTACAACTACTTCGACTACTACATCAAATACTATAACATTTACTACTACTAACACTACTGTTACTAACATTACAACTTTTACAACAACAACAACAACTGCTGCTACTAATTCATTGAGATCAAACATCTCTTCAAAGTTCTCAGATTTCATGTCTAATCGACGACTCGGGGAAACATTTAAAATTCCCCACCACGGTGAACAAGATGTGGAAAAATCAGCAAGGAAGATTGGGTGTGGTTTGTCATCCACCTCGAAAGCTGTTGGAGGTGGAGCTAAAGAGTTAGATGTCATATCAATCAAGCAGAACCAGGACTGTCACTCTCAAGTTCCACACGTGTCGATAGCTAGTCAACAACTGCAGCAACATTCTCAACAGAAATTAAGTCAGTTACAAACTAATCAAGCTTCTTCTAGTCAGCAAACATTTAGTCAACTGCAGCAATCGCAGCAGCTTCCGCAGCCACAACAGCAGCAATCGCAGCAGCTTCCACAGCCACAACAGCAGAAACATCATCACAATGAAGGGCCCACAATTAAATCTGGCAAAAAGTTCAATCTTGGCCTCACGTTTAGAAGATCAAAGCTTTCCTCTGACGTGAAGTCAAGCAAGCAACAACAACAACATCAAAAAAAACAGCTGCATACTCAATCGCTGCAGCAGCAGCAGCACTACAACATCACCACATCATCGTCATCGGGCAAAAATGCAAGCATCAATCAACAACAACAACAAATTGCATCTAACAACAACAACAACAACAATGCGATTCCAAAACTGCAGAGAAAACGAACTTTTGAGATGAAAGATTTTGAGTCGGCTGGACTGCTAAGAAAGAGGATAAGTTCTTTGATGGATTGCTCTTCATCTCACAGCACTGACCTCAGCGACACGAACGACAACATTTCCAACGACGCCACCAACAACAACAACAACCTAAATTTATACAGGACGTTTTCAGAAGATTTTTGTGAGAAATCATATTTCACAGAATTCAAAAACCTCAACGACAACAACAACAGTCACCTGGACAGCAGCAACAACAACAACGACAACAACAACGACACCTACATCGGGTCGCCGTCGACTTCTAGTAGAACTTCGAGTTTCGGAATCTTGAACGACAGCTACATGCTAGAGAACGCCCTACCCTTGGACTGCACGCTCGCTGATGATGCCCTGCTGGTCGATGGAGAGGACGATGAGCGCCGTGGCGATGGTGATAACATTGATAATGTTATTGATGATGATGACGACCGTAATAAAGCTGTCGGTGATGATGAGGATTCTGATGGTGGTGGCCACAACAAAAAAGGTGTCGATCATGATGATGATATTAATGATCATCATGTTGATGATGGTGATGGTGGTGGCCGCAACAAAGAGGTTGTCAGTCATGAGGATGATGTTAATGATCATCATGTTGATGATGATGATGATGGTGGCCTCAAAAAAGAAGGTGTCGGTCATGATGATGATGTTAATGATCATCATGTTGATGATGATGATGCTGGTAAAAAGATTTCTCATAATGATGATGATGATGATGATTGTAGAGATAATCGTTATAGAAAAGGCCTGAATGATGATGATGATGATGGTGACGGTGTTGATGATGATGACGGTCAAAATGGTTTATGTAATGATGATGGTGATAATGTGAACTTAAACATGTGCGGCCATGGTAAAAATGGTAAGGATGATAATGATGATGATAAGAAGAAACTTCATGGTGATGGTGATGGGGGTAAGAAGCAACTGCAAGCTGACGACGACGACAGTGGTGTTGGTGGTAGTGGTGGTAGTGGTGGTGGTGGTGGAACAAAATTTTTTGGTGTCAGTCTAGATGGTAGTGGTGATGGTAGGAAGTCTTATGGTGTTGACGACGACGATAATGATGATAATAAAAACGGTCTTGATAACGATGATGATGGCAATTTTGATGATGATGATGGTGGTGGTGATGATGATGATGATGGTGCTGGTGATGATAATGATGGTGGTGGTGATGATGATGGTGGTAGTGGTGATGATAATGATGGTGGTGGTGGTGGTGATTTCCGTAGAAACAAAGTTAGCAACAAAACTGTCAGTAAAGGTAGAAAGATGCTAAATAATACTGTGACCATTGTGGCAGCCACAACTTCTACTACCACCACTACCACCATAATTACCGGCCACAATAATAATAATAATAGTAATAATAATAATGATGATGATAATAATAATAATGATTATGATGATGTGAAAAATGATGGCGTTTATGATGATGATGATGATGGTAAAAATGATAAAGAAGATAAGAGTGATGATGTTACAAGGGAATTTTATCGTCAACAACAACAACATCAACAACAACATCGACAACAACATCAACAACAACATCATCAACAACAACAACATCTGCAACACCAGCAACAGCAACATACCAGACCCCTATCAACTATATCAGCATGTAGTCTGGATGCTGGGGTTGTTGTTGTTGATGATGGTGACGACGACAACAACATTCATTTAGACCATGATAACAACAACAACAATAACATTGATAACACTCTTAATGTCATGAAGTTAAATGAATGCATTCTTTCCACAAGGTATAAGGATGGCACAATAAAGTTACTGATGAAAAAAACAACAACAACAATAATAATAATTATTATTATGATAATATTAATAATAATAATAACGAAAATAATCACATTGGTAAGAATTGTGATCATAAGAATGTGGAATTAAAAAGACCTGTCTCCTTGATATCTAACTCCAGCGCTGATACAGGTTAATAATAATAATAATATTATTATTATTATAATTATTGTTATTATTGTTTGTTATTGTTATTATTATTATTGTTATTTTATTCTATTTGTATTTTTTGCTTAATTGATGCTTTAAAAAGAGCTTTCATAACAACAAATTAGACTACTTTTCAGATGGATAGATATAGATTTTCACAGATAAATAGATAAAGAGAGGAGGGAGGGAGGGAGAGAGAGAGAGAGAGAGAGAGAGAGAGAGAGAGAGAGAGATATGTGATGAGATGTGTGATGTTTTAAGTTAGATTGAGTTTCAAGGATTCTCTTATTTACTTAACCCTATTTAATAACTTAGTTTCTTCATTGTGTCTCCATCATCTTTCATCATCATCATAGTCGTCTTCATCTTTGTCTTTATAACCGTCAATGATAATTATCACCGGTATATAGTGTAGTCACCTCTTACATTCATTATCTTCTCATTCCAGTCAGTCAGTCATTTTGTCTTTGATATCCTTAATAAACTATCAGCATAGTATATTTTGATCCATCACATATGACTATCGTTATCATTATCAGTAACGAAACGAAACGAAATCATTATCAGTAACGAGACGAGACTAGACTATCGTTGTCATCATCAGTAACCAATCGGAACGAAACCAAACGAAATCATTATCAGTAATGAGACGAGACGAGACTAAATGAAATTGTATTTGCTTATGATAGTAATTGAAAATTGTAAGAACGTCGGATGACAGTGTGGTAGAATTTGCATAAAAATTCATCTAGTATGACAATCCCAGCATTAATTTATAGTTATATAAATTTATATATTTTGATAAAAGACCATAATTTTTACAATATTCTATAAATATATATAAATCGTTAATATGTTTGCAGTACGTTTTTTCGATTTTTCTCACTAAAGATTAGTAAGAATAGAATAAGAATTTATAGAATATTGTAAAAATTTATATATTATATTATATTATATATCTTAGATATTATATATTATATTATATATCTTAGATGCAAAGGAAATATACATACATCTTTATAAATGTATGCATCACCATCATCATTGTTATCATCGTCGTCGTCATCATCATCATCGTAATTATCATCACAACCATCATCAGTTGTATCATTTATTCATTAGGGGATGAATTGTTTGCAGCGGTATTTGATTCATTATTATCGGTAGTATGCAAACAGTAGATGCCTGCGTAGGTGAAATGAAAATATAAAGGTTTATGTATACATACAAAACCGTAAAACAAAACATACAAACACACATACATCCAAGTGTGCAAACACACGAACATACAAACACCCATACATAATCCAAACAAACAAACGCGCGAAAATACACAAGCACACGAACATACAAAAACACACATACACCTAAGCGAAACGTACAAACACACCAGCCAGCACGTGAGCCTCTCTCATATTGATCTCACTTTCTCTTCTTGATTGTACAACACTGCACAACACAGCGTACTCACACATGACCACATACATAACTACATATACGTTGTACTACACACGCACACACACACATATATACACAAATAATTACACATCAGCATACAAGGTAGGTAGAGGTATGTTTTGTTATTTTAAGCGCTCTTGGTACAAAACGCTTTTTTTACACATTCGGGTGTCTATTGCTATTGCACAAATACAAACACATACAAACCAAATGTATGCATGTAAGTTGTATATGTGTATGACCCTTGGTTGATTAACTAGCCACTGATGGGGCTATAATCACTGTCAGGTACTCTATGTTATTGGGTCACGCTCAGAAAGGTCATCTAAAGCCCTATCAAGTATACAGAAGGAATTAAATTTTTGAATCAGAACCGCTATATATTCTTTAATGTAGTTTTTATCTAAACGGTTTCCTGATATTAAGATAATTTGATTAATAAGTTCTTTTAGAAACAGATGGGTATTGAAAAACTGCGAAAAACTTGGACTCTCTGATTGTCAAAGTAATGCTTATAGTTAGGCAGCATTGAGTTAATGCTTATAGTTAGGCAGCACTGAGGCACAAAACTCAATGCTAAAAAAGCTAAAAAGCAGAAGGCGCCAGCTCAATCACGGACCTTAACCCCAAACCACCTTTGACAAGTTGGCAATGTTGCCCGGAGCCAAATCCTATCGTCTACGGCCACGTTGAAAATTTTTTCGAAACCACCACTGGGACAAAGGTCAAACTTTTCTAAAAATTAACCTTTCGGGGCCAGGAGACGTCCTATAAGTATGTATGTATGCATGCATGCATTGCATGTATGTATGCATGTATGTATACATGTGCGTGCGTGTGTGTGTGTGTACGCGTATATGTATAGAAGTACCCCACATATAACATGGGATATAATGTCCAAGATTATGGCCATTTGTGAGACTATATGGTTGTCATTGTGGTCATAGGCATTATTGTTTTCATTGGAAGTTTGTGTGTGTAGTTCTTTTATTATTTTTATTGTTCTTTTTTTTTGTTTTTGGGGTTTTATAAGCTGTCTGTCTGTTTTATTTTAATGTTGTAGAAGTCGGCTGGATTTCATTGCATTTTCGAGTTTGTGTTATAAGTCGTTCTTCGGTTCGTTCGTTCGTTTGTCTGTCTGTCTGTCTGTGTCCGTTCGTTCGTTCGTTCGTTCATTCATCTAAAATTCATTTGTTCATCCATATACTTTTAAATGTTTGCCTATGTTGGTAATGTGATTTTTTGGGTAGACGCAAATTTGAAATAAATAAATTAGTAAATAAATACATAGACTGAATCTTCTAACATTAACTTAACCAATGTTGCTAAACTTATTGTTTTAATGTCAATTCAATTAATGTTACCAGACTCCATAATATTATTTACCGCTGTTGTAATTAATGCCATCGCATGCTTCTGTGATCATTAATTAATTAATTTAATTAATTACTTAATTAAATTAATTAATTAATGTTACGATAGTTAGAGTTGTTTACTGTTGACATAGTTAATGTTATCTCGCTTCTGGTAGTTATATGATGTTTTATTCTAATTAATGTTACCAGGATATCAACCAGATAGCGATATAGAAGGTTGCTGTCAATTTATGATGTCATCTACTTCTCTTGACTACACTAATAGCCTCAACAGCAATGTTAACAACAACAACAACAACGTTAACATTAACGCCGATGATACTGTTGATGTTGTTGTTGATGTAGTAGATCACAGCAACAACAGAACCGAAATGACGTCATCCACTTGTGACGACACCAGTAGGATGGTTGGTGATGATGATGTGGCAGTCAACAACAACAACAACAGCAACAACAACAACAGCAGCAGCAACAACAACAACAGTCACAACGACATAACTATAAACAATCCCAGCGAGGCTAAAAGTGAAATAGGCTGTCCTTATCATTTATCAACAACAACTACAGCAGCACTACAACCAACCATCCTATCACCTGATCAGATTACATTAAGTTTTTCGACAGCGCTACCGTCATCTGATACCAACAACAACAACAACAGCAGCAACGTCAGTAGCAACAACATCAACAACACTGACATCACATCAACGGTTACGTCATCAGGTCACATCACAACAACAACAACAACAACGATGATGACGTCATCGGCGACAGCAACGCCATCAGCTACAACAACAACAACAACGACAGTTGCGTCATCACCAGCATCTTCCACAGTGACGTCAACACCATCAAAAACAACAACAACAACAACGTCAGAAGCGTCATTAACAACGACGACGACAACAACAACATCAACAACAACAACATCAACAACAACAACAACATCAACAACAACAACTACTACTACTACATCTTGCAGAAAAAAGTTGAACACAACTTTTAACCTATCTGAAGGTAACGAATGAATTTTTTCAAGTTTAATTACTGCTATTATTATTATTATTATTATTATTATTTGATTATTAATATTAAATTACGGTGCTTATTATCTATTGCAGCCGGTGAAATTGTTCTTGATGAAGAGTACAACGACAACAACAACAACAACAACGACGACAACAACAGCAGCAGCAGGAGCAACAACAACAACGACATCTTGAATGATAGAGACAACAACAACAACGAAAGCAACAACAACAGCATCTTGAATGATAAAGACAACAACAACAACAACGAAAACAACAACAACAGTATCTCGAATACTGACATCAAGACTGACGATTGTAACTACGACGACACCGATAATGATATGACGTCACCGACGTCTGAGGCTGTCGCCATGTTGAGTTGCATAGTTGAGGATGAGGTTGGCGAGTCTGAGGAGATGAACGATAATGACAATGACGTCATCAACGAAAACGCCAACAGCAACAACAGCAATGGCGTCATCAATGAGGTCATCAACAATGACGCCAATATCAGTGAAGATGTTTGCGTTCAAACCAGTGTTCAACCGCATGAACAGATACCTCAACAACAACAACAACAACAACAACAACAACTGCCAGATATAGAACAACGTATAAGGAAGGAAATTGTTGGAGATGAGGATGGTGACGATGGTGACGATGGCGATGCGATACCTTTGACAATATCAACAACAACAACATCAACAACAGCAACATCAGCAACAACAACATCAGCAGCAGCAACAACATCAACATCAACAACAACAACGGAGCCAGGCAATTCAAATCTAAATGTGACATTTCTCATCTCAGACAGACCCAATCAACATCCAGCTACTCCAGTGACAACAACACCAACAACATCGTCAATAGCAGTGTCAACAACAACAACAACATCAGCAACAACATCATCAACAACATCAGTATCAACAACACTTACATCAACGGCATTAACAACTGCTTCAACAACAACAACAACAACATTAGAACAATTTTCATCAATATCACCACCAACACCACAACTGTCGTCATCTGCAGCTGCTGTAGAGTCAACAACAACAACAACTACTACAGATACAACACCATCAACAACACCATTAACCACCACAAAAACAACTACTACATCCATGACAACAACAACAACAACAGCGAAACAGAAAGTGTTTTAGAAATCCTTAATAATGACGACAACAAGACAGATTACTTCAACAATGACAACAACAACGACAACATCAATAAAAACAACTACAACGACAACATCAATAACATTAACAACAACAACAACAACGACAACATCAATAACATTAACAACAACAACAACAACGACAACATCAATAACATTAACAACAACAACAACAACGACAACATCAATGACATTAACAACAACAACAACAACGACAACATCAATGACATTAACAACAACGACAACAACAACATGGCAAGTAACAAGAACGATGATGACAGCATCGAATCAACGCCAACCAAGCCGTCAAAATCTCCATCCTACAGCAAAATGACGTCAACGAAACCTACGAAGACATCAACAACAAAGACAACAACTTCACCGCCGGCGACAAAAACGCCGACGACATCGTCGCCACCGGCGTCAAAAACGTCAACGACATCATCTCCAAAAACGTCAACGTCGTTGTCGTCGTCATCGGCAAAAACGTCACCAACATCATCATCATCATCATCCAAGACGACGATGACGTCATCAAAGACATCAACAACAACATTAACGACTGTTACAAGGAAAGGATCTTTGGATATTGGGTCGTCGCTGAATAAAAAAAGCTTGTTGTCTAAAAATAGCTCACTCTCGTCTCCGAGATCTGTCACTGGTTGGTTGGTTGGTTGGTTGATTGAATGAATGAATGAATGAATGAATGAGTGAATGAATGAGTGAATGAATGAATGAATGGATGGATGAGTGAACGAACGAATGGATGATTGGCTAGCGTGAATTGATAAATAAATGAATGTAGAAACAAAATGCTGTTAATTACCGAATACTTAACTGAAATGAATGTATGGTGATATAATGAATATGTGAATGACTGACTGATTAAATGAATGAATGAATGAACAAACGAATGATTGAACAAACGAAGAACCGATGAATGAATGCCACCTATCTGACAGGAACCACCCCAAGGACTCCGTCATCATTACAGCAGCAGCAACAAAAAAGCAAATCAACAGACGTTGCAAGGAGAGATTCAGCGACAGCAGCGACTGCAGCAGCCACAAAAACGCCGACGATATCATCATCAGGAACCTCAACGACTTCAACGAGGTTTGCCATGCGACTCAACTCATCGACATTGTCCATCGATGCTCTGAATGACATCTCGACTAATGCCATTACCTCGACTCCCGCACTGAATAGGGACCAACAGCAGAGACAACAACAACAACAACAACAACAACAACAACAACAAAAGTTACATCAACAACATGGTGATTGTTGTATTATTGTATTGATGCTGTGATGCACACGTTGCTGTTGCGGTCTGTTTGAAGAAAATTTTATATGGCGGTCGTTGTTGTTGTTGCTGATGATGATGACGACGACGATGATGATTTTGTTGTATGTAGATGGTGGCGATGATGATGGTGATGATGAATGTTTTATAGGAGATTCTGTGAAATCAACGGCAAAGAATTTATTCAATGGTTCAGTTGAGTCTAGGAGCTTTAAGGTAGGAGTTTAAATGTGTTGTTGTTGTTGTTGTTGTTGATGATGATTATGATGATGATGATAATAATGTTGTTGTCGTAATGTTAATCACTCGCTACCACCATCATCATCGTCGTCGTCATCATCATCATCATCATCATCTTCTTAATCTTCTCCATCATTAGCGTCATCTTCTTCATCATCGTCATCATCTTCATCATCATTATCGTCATCATCAACATCTTTTTCTTCTTCATCATCATCGTCATCATCATCAACATCACCATCATCGTCGTCGTCATCATCATCGTCATCATCACCAACAACATCAAACAGACATCATCATCATTAGACCAGCCTAAAAAGCTTGCAACAGTCGGAAAAAGACCTTCCATAACTACTACCACCACCGCCACCAATAATAATAATAATAATAATAATTCAAATGGAGCCAAACCACCGTCATCGAGTATGTCCATATTTTAAATTTTTTTCAAATCTGGCTTATTTAAAAAAGATTTGTTTGGTTAATTTTTTTTGGCCCCAAAGATATGCATTTAACCAGTGAATGAATGAATGGACGAGTGAATGAATGAGTGAATGAATGAACGAATGAATGAATGGGTGAGTGATGAATGAATGAATCAGCCAATCAATCAACAAACCAATGAATGAATCGATGGAGTATTAAAAACAAAAACGAATGATTGAACACGGCGATTTAATGGATGATAAAAAAAGTAAATGAATGTATGAGCCAATCAATCATTCATTCATTCCATCAATCAATCGACGAACGAATGAATTACTAAATGAATGAATGAGTGAACGAACGAATGAACGAATGATTGATTGACATCAGTTACTACAGCACATAGCGGTAAAGAAAAAGTTCGGTCTTCAAATATCATGAGCTCCACTGGTTTGTATATGTGTGTATGTATGTGTGTGTATGTATGTTTGTATATATGTATGTGTGTGTATTTGTCTTGTCTATCTACTTTGTTTTTGTGTTTGTGACTATTTTAATGTGTCTCTTTCTCTGACTGTATTGTTTGTATTGATAAAGTGAGATAGTACTTCTTCTCTGCCTCTCTCGTCTTGCTCTTCATCTTCCTCATCTCTTCATCTTCTGCTTCTTCCTTTCTTCATTCCTCCATTTTCTCGTCCAACATTCAGCAGCAGCAGTAGCAGCTGCCAGGAAGGCTGCAACAACCAAGCAACCAACAACAACATCCACAACAACGACTCGCACGACAACAGCATGCAACGTTATGAAGAAAGATTACAGCAAAACCAATGCAATTAAATCTATCAACAACAACAACAACCACACCGGCAACATGTCTCGCAACAACAACAACGGCACCAACAATATGTCTCGAAACAATAGCAACAACAACATCAACATATCTGCGAACAACAGTAGCAGTAGTATCTATCGCGTGGCAACCAACAGAAACAAAAGAGTCCTCAGTTCTAGTAATCTGAGTTTACCTGGCAACAACAACAACAACAATAGCAGCAACAACAACAACACTTTCAACTCCAGCAACACAAGTCTAAAAGGCCTTAGCAGCAGCAACAACAACAACAACAACGTCATCATGATGAACAACAACAATAATTTAATGTCGTTGATGGCCAGTTGCGACCTCAAACTAACTAGGTCGAGATCAAATTTAAAGAGGTCACAGGTTGCCGTGGAAGCGTTGACCGTCGTCGTGAATTACGTCACTAGTCAGTGCGACAGGAAGAATCAGACGCTGATGAACGCCACGAGAAGACTGCACCAAGCCTCGTCAAGCCTGGCATCCGTCAAGGAGCAGTTGGTCTCGGCAACCAAGCAGCGAGACAGTCTCATGGAGGAGCTGTCCTGTCTGGAACGCGATCACAGGGCGCAGATAGAACAGATGAAAGAGGCACACGAGACTGATAAGATGATGCTGCTGAAGGAAGAGGCCATGAGAAGGACGATGCTCATGGAGCAAGCGACGAAGCAGCACCTGGAAGAGATGCACGCACTGAGGGTCAGCCACTCGACGAAACTGGATGAGGTGCAGCAATCGAGTGCCAGGCTGATTCAGATGAAGGAAATGAAACTCAATGAAGAAATGAACAGTATGACTAAGAACCATGAACAGACCGTCATTCGTTAGTCGTTCGTTCGTTCATTTATTTGTCCATTCATTCATTCATTCATTCACTCACTCATTCATTCATTCATTTTTTCCCTTCTCTCTGCCATTGAAGAACTGACGAGCGAGTACAAGAAGAAGGTAGAGGAGATAACGATGAGGTTCGAGCAGATGAAGTTGACGATGCACGAGCGAGTGGAGTGTCTGCGGGCGGAGTGCGACAGCATGCGACACCGCGAGTCCTCCTTCATGGAGTCCTGCCAGCAGGAGGCGCAAATGCACGTACAGAACTGCCTAGCCAGGTACAAACACCTGCCGCAAGAGATCGAGAGCTTGAAGGCCGTGCTCGACCTAAAGAATAAGGAGATGCATGCCCTGAGGATGCAAAACATGGAGTTGATGAAGGAGGTTTGTGTGCGTGCGTGTGTGTATTATTATTATTATTATTGTTATTATTATTATTATTATTGTTACTATTATTATTATTATTATTAGAGAATTTATATAGCGCCCTTTAATGCAACTCAAAGGCGTGTATGTGTGTGTGTGTTGTGTGTGTGTTGTGTGTGTGTTGTGTGTGTGTTGTGTGTGTGTTGTGTATTCTTTTATTATGATGGGAGTGCGTGTGTAGTTGTCGTAATCGTCACTGGAGGACCATCTTTACACACGCACACACACACGCACACACACACACACACGTCATTCGTAAGAACGAAGAGCTGGCTGAGAGCAAGAAGATGTTGAAGACGTTGGAGCAGAAGTTGGAGAACCTCCAGGCCATAGCTGACATGCGCGCTGATCAAGAGAAAGTTTCTGCAGAAAAATATCAGGTTGGTTGGTTGGTTGATTGGTTGGTTGGTTTGTCGATTGGTTGGTTGATTGATTGATTGATTGGTCGATTGGTTGGCTGATTGATTGGTTTGTTTGTTGGTTATTGATTAGCTGAGTGATTGATAACTGATTGATTAGTTTTCTGGCTGGTTGGCTGTTGGTTAACCGATCTAAATATACTAACAACATAATTTTCATCATCTTTTTACTCATCATCTTCTTAATCATCATCTTCTTAATCATCATCGTCGTCTTAATCATCGTCGTCTTAATCATCATCTTCTTAATCATCGTCGTCTCATTCCTCTTCATCACCACCAGATACTGTTTCGAAAACTGGAGAGAGAGACGAAAGCCAACAAAAGATTATCTATGGACAAGGAGGAATTGATGTACAAGCTCTCAACCTCATTATCCTCGACACCGAACAACAGCAGCTTGAATGTGGCTCCAACAGCTACTACAACGGCGACAACAACGATGTTGTCGAGCGTGCAGAAGCGACAACTACTACAAAATAATAATAATAACTTTCCTTTCTCAATGTCGGCATCTTATACATCTGGTGTTACTCCGTTAGGTTTTTTGAAAAATAATAATAATAATAACAATGTTGCCGGAAGTAAGGCTAGTTGTAAGAGTGCCCCAAACAACAACAACAACAACAGCAATAATAGTAATAATAATAAAAATGACGACAATGATGATTTTCCAACTTCTACAACTCCAGGTGTGTTGTTTGTTTGATGGTTCGTTCGTTCGTTTGATCGTTCGTTCGTTTGTTTGTTCGTTCGTTGCTAATGTCATTTATATGTGGTTGTTTGTTGTTGTTGCTCTCACTGTTGATGTTGTTGCTGTATTGCTGTCAACGCGCCACACAGGACTCGCTGAATCTGCTGAAGTAGCCGGCCAATCAAAACACGACAACGACGACAATGAAGACATTGATTACAGTTTACTGAGAAGAAAGCCAACGGCAACCACTGCGACGACACCGGCGACAACATCAGCCAACAGCTGCAACCAGCAACCATCCAAATATGCTTTCCCAACGACAAAGTCTGCATCAACTGTCGGCAACAGGGTTGCGTCTCGCGTCTCCAACAGCAACAGCAGCAACAGCCACAGCAGCAGTCCGACAACAAACAACGCGACGACAACTGCGTTTGCGACGACGACGACAATGAGATCGGTTTGGAGAGAAGTCGAACCCGGATCAAAGTTGTTGAATGTTTGTGCCTCTGGCGACAATAATAAGTTGCAGAGATCGGCAACTTATGATTTGAAGGATATGGGCCAGATCTGATTGGATCTTTAACTTTGATTGGCTGATTTTGATTGGTTGGTTGGTTGGTTGGCTGGTTGAATTTGGTAGGCTGGTCGGTGTAATATTTGATTGATTGATTGGAAAAAAGTGGCAGAGGTCGGTAATTTATAGTTTGATATGTAACAGATTTGATTGGGTGATTGACTTTGATTAGTTGAGCTTGATTGGTTGGTTTTGAGTAATTGCTCGGACTTTGATTGGTTGATTTATACTGGTTTATAGACTGGTTGGTTGGTTTCTTGACTGGAGCATATTTGATTGGTTGATTGATTTTGTTGAGGATTTTGCAACTTATCATTAGAAAGATATGGGGCAGATTTGAATTGATTGGTTGACTTTGATTGGTTGACTTTGATTGGTTTGTTGAATTTTATGATTTTATTGGTTAGTTGATTGATTGGTCAATAAGTTTTCTAACTAATGGTTTGATTGGTTAATTGATAACTTTATCGAATGACTAACTAATATTAATAATTGTAATAAGAGGATATTTTCCCCTTCTTAATTATTCATAACTAGATAGCATGCTTTATAAATTATATCATTAAGAGTGTTTTGGTGTGTGCGCGTGTGTTTGTATTTGTGTGTGTGTGTGTGTGTTTGCTTTTAAATCCCTCATCTCATTAGAAACCGTGTCAATGCTTGTTGTTTTATTATAAATAGAAACAAACAATCTCAGTTTGATTAAAAGGCAATTCGTCAAATTAACTATATTCAAGTCCATAGAATCAAAATATAATTTTTTTTCTCTTCGCTATTTTCTTCATTTTATTTCTTTATTTGGGTTTTATTTATTTATTTTCGCTTATTTATTTTTGTCTTATTAATCTTTTTCTCTCGCCAATATTTGCGATGTCAAATGAAACTTGTCAAAGAAAAACCTTCGGAAAAGATTGGTTTCTATAGTTTTAGCTGTGGTGATTCTTGTCATTATCATCATAGAAGTGATTGTAAAATTGTTGGATATGTTCGTTTGTTCGTTCGTTCGTTTGTTCGTTCGTTATTTTGTTCGTTTGTATGTAAGTTTGTTTGTATATTAGGTTTTTATATGTATATAAATGTAGATGTGAATATTTTTGCATATGTATAGTGTTATGTTATTATACTTATTTATGGTTCGTTCATTCACTTGTTTATTCCTTCCTTCGTTCATTCATTCGTTTGTTCGTTCTTTCGTTCATTCATTCATTCATTCATTCATTCAACCATTCATTTATTTATTCATTGATTTTTTTTTGTGATTGCGAATTTTTTGAGTTTTATAAAAATTAAAGTCTGCATATATGTACAGGCGAAAACGGTTTGATTAACTTGCAGATTATGTCAATTTATTATTTAATATTAATAAATAAATTATCATTATCATCGTAATCATCATCATCATCATCATCATCGGTAACATTGATGATGGTGATGATGATGATGATGGCTTCTTCCTCTTGTCATTTTAGAATTTTTTTTATCTCTACTTCGATGACGCCATAATTTTTCAAATATTGAGTAAATAATTATGCTATAATATTAATGCTATAATATGAAATTGATTGATGGTGACAAAGGATGATGATAACTGTTTGTTCACCAATTGTTGCTTCTTCTTCTTCTTAGCTTTAACCGCTTTACATTTCATTCAATTATTTATTTGTTTACCTATTTATTTGTATTTTTTATTTATTTTTCTTCTATTCTTTGGTTTCATGCATAATTATCCTTCCTTATATATGTTTTTTCACGTTTATTTTATTTCTTTGTTGTTTTTTTTTCTTTGCAGGAGATTTTTATCATAGACAATTTTATAATTGAAATGAGTTTATTGGTGAGTTTTAAAAAGTAATAATTAGTAGAATATTACAGACTAATAAACTGTTTTTAACTGAACGTTGTCTTGTTTAATTAAAATTTACGAGAATACATCATAGAGTAGGCATTCTTCTTCTTTCTCGTGCCTCATCCTGTCAGGACACACTTCAGTCAAACTTACAAACTTTGGTCAATTTTTCAATGCCTAGTTCATTAAAGCATTTAATTTCTTCAACAACTACCTCATCTTTACCTGGCGCTTTATTTGATTTCATTTTGGAGAGGATCTATAAGTATCTTTGTATATATTTATCTGGTATGCATGTATTTATTTATATAATATCTGGTAGTGTTTTTATATATTTTATATCTTCAAGTATCTTTGGTCCTTCTACGTCGTTTTTGATGGGAGGCTTTTCACCGCGGATATCGTCAAAAAAATCGCTAATGTATTCAGTACTTTTTCTTTCTCTAAGATTACTTCAACGGATTTAGCTTCTGTGCATCCAGAAACGATGCAAGCCCTTTCCCCAGTGATTTCTTTGATGTTTTTATACATTGCATTTGTATTAATGTTTTTGATCTTTTCAATGATTTCGTACTTGTCATTTAGCCATTTCTCCCTTGCCTCTAAGCACATTGTTTTGATTGACTTGTCAAGCTTTTTGGAACTATCAGAATTGCAACCTTTCACTTTTTTTCGTTCATCCATCAGTTATGTCATCTGTTATTCATTTCTGACCTGACTTTGGTCTTTTACAGGTCAAACTTACTGGCAAATATGAAATTAGATGAAAATTTGACAGCCTATAGTATAAGATTCTCTAAAATCTTGTATTCTAGATAGTTGGAAAGAAAATATCTACATTTGATGATTATAAAATGGCTTGAATAAGCTATTTATTACAAAATGGTGAATAAATAAAGACAAATTTTAAAAGAGTTTACGTTATTTTATCTGAAAATGTACTTTTGATGCGTAAAATGGAGAATAAAACAATAAGTTCATGAGATAAATGTTAAGAAAAAATAATTTTTTAAATATTTAACTATTTATTCTATGCTCTCATTGCTACTTTTTAATCGTTCTCAACGTTTTTAATAAACACAAACATCTTTTATATTTTAGTTAACAAATAAATAATTAAATTAATTAACTAACTAATTAATTAATTTAATTTAAAATGAATTCTCCTAAAAAGGATTCGAAGTGGGTCTGCTGCGAAACAGTTAGATCAAGATTTTTAATCAATTTTTGTATGAATTTAAATTTTTCAACTGGAGCGCCTTCCTTGTCTTGGTTTTGCGTTCTGCTTCGAGTTTATTTATTTTTTTAGTATTTTTTAATTAATTTCACTCCAAATACATTTTTTTATTACAAAATAAGACATTTTTTGTTACTAACTACACTTTTTTGCGCAATAATTGTGATGTTTAGCGACGATAACTTTCCTCATTTTCATGTTTCAAAATGTTTCAAAATCTTCTTATAAATTCGATTTTTTAATTTTAATGAAAGAAATATTTAATAAAAAATGGCTTAATTAATTGATTAGCCAACTTATTAATCAATAATTCAATTTTATTGATTAATTTATTTTAGTCATCAGAAGGAAGTTTTCATTTGCCACCTGCAATATGCAAAGTTTGTCTGCTCTAAAAATTTACTAAACTAAAACTAAACTTTTATCATTTTTTAATTAATTGATTATTTATTTATTTTATTTCTTTAGAAATTTTTCTTTTTTTATTTGTTGGCATTTAAAATGAAAATTTTATTATTAAATAATAAATGTTTTACTTATCTTTGAACTTTATTAGTATTTAAAAAAGCTTAAAAAAAACTTTATTTGGTCTGAATTATGAATGATTGATAATGTTGTTAATTATTTTAGGAATATTTAATCAATGAAATAATGATTTGGTAATATTAACAGCCAAATAGAAAAATCTTAAATGAAATTCAAATGAAATTCAAATTAATAATAATATTAACCAACCAACCAGTCAACTAATCAATCAATCCTCATTTATAGTCTCCATCTGTTATGGGTCGGACTTTTATATTAAATTAATAATATTATAATTAATAATAATATAATTAATAATAATGTAATTAATAATAATATAATAATTAATAATAATGTAATTAATAATAAAATAAACTTGTAGAAAGAGTTAGTAATAACGTACATAGAGTCACCATGTATGTTCTGGGCCAGTCTTGTCAATCAGATGGCCAAGCAGAGTGACATTGAAAACAGATTGGCTGGTATATGTGACGGTTTGCCAAGGTTCAGAGCTGTTTGTTCTTTCTACTGTTTGTGCTGCCTTGCTGGTACTGTGGTGTAGTGGTTAAGTTGCCTGGCATTGCTATCGCAGTGACCTGGTTTGAATGCAAATAAACTCCTACCTATCATATGTGATATGTGTGTGTGGTGATGAGTAGATTCATGTGTATTTACAGGCACTGTATCTGTCTGTTGTCATGAATGGTGAATTTATGTTGATGTTTGTGTTGTTGTTAATGTTGTTTTTGTAGTATTGGTTGCTATTGTTGTTGGTTTATTGATGTTTTTAATGTCGTAGGTGTTGTTGTTGTTGTTGTTTTTGGTGGTTATGCATTGATTTCGTTGCTGCTGTTGGGACTCTTGTTGATGTTATTGATGTTATAATATATGTTATTAGCTGAGAATAAATTGCCTGACAAGATCATCATCATCATTTTCTTCATTATTCATCATCATCATTCATCCTTAATATCTTTGTCATCAAACTCACCATCATCATCATCATTACCACCACCATCTTCCTCTTCTTCATCCTCTTCGTCTTTCTTAATTTATTTCCTTTGGACCCATCATCAGATTGAAAGGCCCTCCGTGTGCAGGCAAGGTAATTAGCATAAATGAATAAATTAATTAGCATAAATGATTAAATTAATGCCCATAAATGAATAAATTAATGAGCACAAATGAATTAATTAATGGGCATAAATGAATAAATTAACGAGCATAAATGAATAAATTAATTTATCACATACACACACACACACACTCTCATCAATCAATACAAAATTGAGTTTTTATACATAGTTACACACATACACACATAATAATATAATTTGAATGGGTACACACACATACACATATACATACACACACACACAAATACATGCACATACTACTCAACTTAACAAACATACATGTTACACACGCACCCACATACATACATACACACACACACAAATACTTACTCAACTTGACTCAACTCACAGATATATGGATGTGTATACAGTGTAGACAATAACTGGTACAGATGTAAGATATCGCAAGTTATTAACAAGGCCCAGGCTTGTGTTCTATTAGTTTTTTCCATCCATCCATCTACTCATTTATTTTTCTATTCTTTCGTTCATTCATTTATTCATTCATTCATTCATTCTTTTTTTCATTTATTCTTTTGGTCATTCATTCATTCGTTACACGTTCAACCAACCAACAAACAAACCAATCAACCAACCAACCAACCAATAGTCTGAAGTGTTGTACGTCGACTATGGAAATCGCGAAGTAGTTGAGAACGCTTGCCTGGTGGAGTTGCCAGCCGACCTCGCCGATCAGCACATACTCGCCTATCCCTACTGGCTACTGAAGCTGAAGAATGTTAAATCAGAGGCTCAGATCGAAAAGGTAGACGCATTTCAGTTGCATTAAAGGGCTCTATATAAATTCTCTAATAATAATAATAATAATAGCTGCTGTTATTGTTGATGTTGTTGATGTTGCTGTTGTGGTTGTTGTTGTCGTTGTTACACCACCATTATCGTCGTTTCCATTGTTGTTACTACATATTTAAAACTCTCCTAACCGCACACGCACGCACGCACACACACACACACACAAACACACACGCACAAACACACGCACGCACGCACATATTAGGGTATAGAATTTTTGGAGGAGTTGAAGTCGGCCAATCCTCTGAAGGCCACGATGTATTCCAAGACGAAAGACTCGGTCATCCCTATTACAGTGGTCCTAGATTCGGGCGATGACCTAGCCGAACTTTTAGTTAAGAAAAATTTCTGCCTCTACATGACCAATGATGAGATGAGGTTTGTTTGTATGTTTGTTTGTATGTTTTGTTTGTATGTATGTTTGTTTGTATGTATGTTTGTTTGTATATTTGCTTGTTTTTTTGTTTTGTTTGTTTGTTTGTTTGTATGTTTGTTTGGATTTTTTTTTTGTTCGTATGTTTATTTGTTTTGTTTCTTTGTTTGTATTTTTGTAATGGCGGAGAGGGTAATGAATTATCAGTATCACCCACCATCACCACGTGATCATCATTGTCGTCGTCATCATCATCGCCACGTGATGATTATCTACATCACTTTAGATTAAAGTTCGGAGTGCCAGAGTTTTTCACCAAGTCCCCCTCCATTTCTGTGCCGAATGATGTTGCTCAAGATTATGCATCGAGAGTTTCACATTCCTTCTGCAAGGATAAAGTTATCGATGTTGTTGTTGTTGTTGTTGATGTTGTTGTTGATGTTGTTGATGCTGTTGATGTTGTTGATGCTGTTGTTGATGATGTTTTTGTTGTTGATGTTGAGGATGCTGTTGATGTTGTTGATGATGATGATGTTGTTGTTGATGTTGTTGTGGTTGTTGTTGATGTTGTTGATGCTGATTTTGTTGTTGTTGATGCTGATGATGCTGTTGATGTTGATATTGATGCTGTGATTCATGTTGTTGTTGATGTCGCTTGTGATGTTGATAACTAACTAACTAACCAAACCAACCATCCTTCTACTCAACTCTTTAACGCTACTAACTAAATCACGATAAAAAAATGTGTGTGTGTAAATTTCACCCGAAAAGAATTCTAGAAACGGTTACAGCATCAACATCACATCGACAGCGACTTCAGCAGCGGCTGCAGTAACGACAAAACCGACGCACACACACAATGCCTACTCGTCGCCTGTTATAGATGGCGTAAGTAGGATGCAGTCCACTTCGACATTGGGGATGTTCAAGATGAATGCTAAAGTTTGTTGCTGCTGCTACTGCTGCCACTGCCACTGTTGTTGTGGTTGTGGTGTTTCGTTGTCGTGATGTGACTGCTACTAGCGCTGTCGTCGTTGTCGTGATGTTGGGATTTGTTGGTTTGGTTTCTTTTATTGTGGTTGGCAGTTGTTGTGGTGGCGTACGATGTTGATGTGGTCGTTTTTGTAGTTGATGTAGTAGCGATTTGAACGTTTTGTTGTGTTTGGTTGGGATTTGTTCTCTCTTTTTTTTTTGAGGAGCTGTACGCTTTCTCAATGTTGAGTTTAAATGTCGCTTCTGATTGTTGTACTGCCTAGTATCATTCGCTTATTCAACCAGTCATCTATCTATCCAATCATCCAACAATTCATTCCATCATCCATCCATCGTTTTTCATCCATCCATCCATCAAGGGTCCAGTTAGATTAGTGAAGTTGAAATCGTCAGGGGGCGTTAGGGACGACCAGGTGACGGAGTACGAACCCTCGACTATATCGAAGGTGCCTCACGGGGACTATGCCCCCAGCGTGCCAAAAAATGTGCAGTCTAAGCAGCAGCAGCAGCAGTTGCAAATGCAACAGCAGCAGCTGAAGCAGCAGTTGCAGCAGCACATGCAACAGCAGATGATGGAGAAGAAAAATATTGAGTTTGGGTTGGTCGGTTGTTGTTGCTGTTGTAATTGTTGTTTGTTCGTGGTTTTAAATAGTCTATTCTTTCATTCATTCATCCATCCATCCATTAACCATTAGAGCCATTTATTAAGTAAACCAGAAGCCCGTATACAGAGCATGTAAGGTAGCTAAAACATCAACAAAATTAAAAATTGTTCAGGCGAGAATGAAATGTCAACATTGCCATAACAATCTAATTAACGAATTTAAAAATGATAAATGTTAAATATTAACCTACTGAGAAATATGAAAACAACTAGATCGTTGCTGAGAAAGATTCAACAATATTAATAAGAAACATTCAACAATAAACAGAGTTATTGAATCGTCGTTAAATTTTAAGAAGGGAGAAAAAGTACGTAAGGCTATTTTTTAAATAATCTACTTCTTAAAACTGGCAAATAAAATTTATTACTGTGTGTCTAAAATGCACACTCCTGTTAGGTTTAAAACTAAAAATGACTTTTGTAGCCTTGGGCGAAACATTACTTATACATAATTTATAAAAAATATATCCGTCTATCTATATATCCATCCATCTATCTATCTATCTTACCATCTATCCATCCATCTATCCATGTATCTATCTATCCGTTTCTCTTACATAGAATAGAGCAGTTAAGTTTGGAGCTGACAGAGTCCTCGAACGATGTGCTACTTCTCCAACTGGAGAACAACAGCCTGAAGCTAGAGTGCAGCGAGCAGAAGAACAAGATTGGTGTTGGTGGTGATGATGACGACGACGATGATGATGATGAGGCCATGGGGGTGGTGATGATGGTTATGGTGGTGATAGTAGTGATGCTTTTAGAGGTGATGATGATGATTGTTGATGATAGTAGTGATGTTTTTAGAGGTGATGATGATGATGATTGTATTTACAAACAGGAGCTGGAAAGCATGTTGGAATCTAGATCGCATCTTGTATCAAATAGGGTTAGGTCAAGTTTTTATCTTGGCTAAGATGACGATGTTGTTGCTGCTGCTGTTGTTGCTGTTGATGATGATGTTGTTGATGATGAGGATGAAGATGCTGTTGTTGTTGTTGATGACGATGTTGATGATGATGTTGTTGATGCTGTTGTTGATGTTGATGTTAATGTTGTTGTTGAGGCTGTTATTGATGCTGTTGTTGATGTTAATAATGTTGATGATGATACTAGTTTCATTAAGGATGGTGATGATGATGATGACGTTGTCCTATAGGGTATCAATTGGAATAATGATGTGACGACGACGACGATGATAATGTCAATAATAATAATAATAATAATAATGATGATGATGATGATGATGATGATGATGATGATGATGATGATAATAATTGTAATGATGATGATGATGATGATGATGATGATGATGATGATGATTGCAAACAGTTGAAGAGTTTAGTTATAGAGGCGAAGAATCTGATCAAGATGAAGTAATGTGATGATGATGATGATGTTGTTGATGGTGATTATGACGATGACGACGATGTTGATGATGATGACACTGATGATAATGTTGTTGTTGGTATTGCTCTTTAAGTCCTTAATAATTTTCATCATCATTATCATTATTATTATTATCATTATTATTAATAATATTATTAACTATTATAAATAATTAATCATTTTATATTTAATTGTAATTTTTACTTATATTTTTGCTTTTGAATAAATAAAAAAGTTCTCATTATTATTATTGTTGTTGTTTTTGTCATCGTCACTATCTTCAGAGTAAAACAGTCGAAACAAAATGAATTGAAGTTTGAGCTGGATAAAGCAAGGTTCATCATTCATCCATTCATTCATTCTTTTTAATTTTGTTTGGAAGCTAATACAATATATCGTTATATCAATCAATCAATCAATCAATCAATCAATCAATCAATCAATCAACCAATCAACCAAACAACCAATTAATCAATCAACCAATTAATCAATCAACCAATTAATCAATCAACCAATTAATCAATCAACCAATCAACCAATCAATTAATCAATCAACCAATCAACCAACTAACCGATCAACCAACCAACCGATCAACCAATCAATCAACCAACCAATCAACCAACCAACCAATCAATCCTCGACAGCGACATACTGATATCCTTTCAGCCGACCAATCCCATGCTAAGGAAGATTGCCTCAGTACAGGCCGTCTTCGACAACCTCCAGTCAAAGATTAAGGCTAAGAATGTCATTGATGATGTTAGTGCACTAGAAAAAATCACACTCACACGCACACACACTCATGCAGCCACACACACACACACACAAACACTTACACACACACAATAACATACATCAAACACACATAAACAATCGCAATAACGCACACACACGCACACACCCAGGAATTGTTGAAGTTGATATCGGCCAGAGATTCAGCTCGTAAACTTCTATACAGCGACCTCGAGGAACTTTCCCTCAGAACTTCACAACTTCCCATTGAAGATATATACGAGAAGGTCAAGGTCTGTCTGGCTGGTTGTCTGTCTGGCTGGTTGTCTGGTTGGTTAGCTGGCTGGCAGGTTGGTTGGCTGGCTAGCTGGCTGATCAGTGTTTTTCTGATTGGAAATAAAATGAAATATTCCTGAAAAAAACGCATTGTGTAAATATTTAATGTTTATTTATTTACGATTCTTCTCATTTTCAATCAATCTCTCGACACCACCACCATCATCACCACCATCATCATCATCCTCATAACCTCACCCACCACCAAAACTATATGATCATCACCCGACGCAACCCGGAAAAAGTTCATCCTGAAGAGGTTAGTGAAACCGGAGCATCTGACGGAGTTGGAGAAGCTGGACCCGATGAAACAGTCAGACGATTCCTCCTCATCTTTCACCGACCTCCCAGAGGATAAGTTCCAGAATGCCATCCTGACCTACCGATCTTGGAGGGTTTGTGTGTGTGTGTTTCTTCCTCACTGTGTGTGTCTGTGTGAGTGTCTGTGTGTGTGTTTGTGTGTGTTTGTGTGTGTGTGTGTGTGTGTGTGTATCTTCCTCACTGTGTGTGTGTGTGTGTGTGTGTGTGTGTGTGTGTGTGTGTGTGAATTTTTGAATTGAATACATACATACATACACACATACATACATACATACATGTATACAAATTTGTTTTATTATCAGATGAATAATGCAAAAGACAATAGATTTGTTGAGATTAAAGTTGAAGAGAGGAAAAAGCAGATCATACAAGTTATGAACTACGTGGTTTTGGTTGGTGTTAGTTTGTGTCTGTCTGTCTGTCGGTTTATTTGTTTGTTTGTCTGTAATTGTTTCAGTGTCCATCTGTCTTCCTGTCTGTGTGAATGTTTGTATGTCTCTGAATATTTGTATTTCGGTTTGTCTGTTTGTCTGTCTGTCAATTGTTAGTTTTTATGTCCGTATGTTTATCTATCTATTTGTCTGCCTGGTTCTTTGTCTGTTCGTCTGTCTGGTTGTCTATCTTGCGTGAATGTTCGTCTCTTTGTCTTTGTAGTTGCAGGTGTGGACGATGTTGTTGTTGTTGTCGTTGCATTTATAGTTGCAGATGCTAACGGTTTCATTGTCGTTGTTAATTGTTGCTGACGTTGTTGTGGCAGTGTTTCTGTTGTTGTCGTTGAAGGTCTTGACAGAAGAGGAAGTATTCGACAATCGCGAGGAGGTCATCTTCAACAACCTGGACGAGTGCATCAAAGAGTACGAGGTGTCTGCCAGAGAGGAGAGGCAACATCTCATGAGGGTATGTTTTTTTGTTGTTGCTGTTGTGGTGGCTTCTGCTGCCGCTACTGCTGCTGCTGCTGATGCCTGCCGGTGGTTACTGTCACACATGCTCAACCAAACACACACAGAAACTAGGTTACCAAGAAGATCAGTTCTTTGGACAACATCAGCCAGTCTCGCACTGCGTTTCTAACACAACAGTTTACACGAGCAGTAACTACAGCAAAGATCTCAACGCTTCGGCCGTTTCTGCTGCCGCGGCTGCCGCAGTTGCTAGTAGCTGTGTGGCTGGTTGCTGCGTCGGTGGTACGTGTGGTCGCCTGTCGTCTCGTGCTAGTCCTAAATGCTCTTTGCAACAAGAATGTAGTTCGAGTATCGATGGTGTGTTTTGGTGCAAGTGTGTGTGTGCGTGTTTGTGTGTGCGTGTGCGTGTGTGTGAGTAATGATGAATTGGAGATTGATGTTGTTTGCGGTAATGTAGTGTACGATGACGATAGGATGACGATGAGATGATGACGACCATCCAGGCAGCAAAACAGCCAGCAGCTCAATGAAGGACAGAGCGGCCACCACTCGCGTGAACGCCAACTCACCAACGACAACCCACGACAACGACGTCCTCTGGAACTCCATCAGGGGCCTCCTCATTGAGGTACATTCATCGGAACGCGCTGCACCGACTGCAAATTAGCACGGCTGGCTACGCAAATGTACAAAATCACGGACACTAACATACACACAACTCTCTTCCTCACACTGGACATAGAAATAAACAAACATACAGATACAGACACACACACACACACACGCACACAAAACGCACACATACACACACGCACAAAAAACACACACGCAAGCACACAAAACGCACGCACGCAAAACACACACACACGCACACAAAACGAGCAGATGAAACGCCTGATCGATGTGATCGCTCGCCACCGCGGCCTCATGCACCAGCTTTCCATGTGGCTGGACAACACGCCGAACGTGGTGAGCCTCAAGGAAATCATCAAGTCCATCCGCATCCTCAAGTCACAACTCCGACACCAGCTGGCCGACCTGGCGGATTACGACGAGGACCGGAAGTCGAAGGGGATGATGGTGGGAGACGATGGCCAGAGGATGTTGTTGCTGAATAAGTTGAATCAGACGAGGTTCATGCTGCAGGAGGGAATGGAGGCTCAAGATCAGATTATGGTTGTTGTTGTTGGTTGTTGTTGTTTCTTGCTCAGTTGTCTCGCAATGGCACAGGCAGAACTTCAGAACTTTACTAGATGTAGAGCTTTGAGTGTTCGAGACTCAACTTTAAGACTTTTTTTGCACAACAAAAAGCATATTTTACGGAAATTTCCAATAAAATGTTTATCGAAGCGTGATGTTTTTGTTGTTTTTTGATTAATGTTGTTTTCGTTGTTGTTGTTGTGACTTGTTACTTGTTGCTGTTATGTTAGCAACAACATCGCAACACTTAACAACAGTTGAGCATGGCGGAGTCAGACCTCAGGCAGTTCCCAGAGCTGGTCATCTACCACATTGACATACCATTCAAGGCACTCATGGTTCGTCCTCGCTATACACACGCACGCACACACACACACAGACATACACACGCACACATACACAGACTCACAGCAGCTTAGTTAGAGACGGTCGAGCGATGGACCAATACAGTTTAGAGGTACTGGACAAACAGAGAAACACGTACAAGTCTGTATACATCAGGAGGCCAATTGTTCTACAGGTGTGACGATGATTCAGTGACGTCATTGTACGCTAGCATGATCATGTGATTGTGCGATCACATGATGTTGATGCGATGAATGCTATCCAGGAATACTTCCTACATGGACGCACCTGTGACGAGTTCGAAAGCACTGTAGGCTGCTACTTGAACTGCTTCGAGAAGAGTCAACTGTCCAGGATTGAGTTCATGTTCTTTGATACCGTTCGTTTGCTGATTGATTAGTTGGTTGTTCTGGTTGATCGATTGATTGATTGATTGATTGACTGACTGATGGACATTTTTATTTTCTTAGCAACTTTTTTTCACAAAGACGTATGCTAGCGACACACAATGGAAACTTACTAGCACACACACATCTTTGCTGCAAACGCAAACAAACTCAACCCGTGCACAGGCATACACGTACATGAACGTATATACACAAACAAACAGACACACAAACAAACAAACACATACACAAACACACATTCCGACAGAACAAACACTCGGCAATCGTTCAGACGCCATTTAGAGAACATAACTTTAGTAAGATGCTGATGGCCGGCTCAGACGAGAATATGGTCTGTCTGTCTGGCTCTTTCTTTGTAAATATGTATCTCTGTGTGTGGGTGTGTGGTGTGTGTGTGTGTGGGTTTGTATGTCTCATATTTTACACGTCTGCTCGTTTTGTTTCACCCGCACGCACGCGCACGCACGCACACGCACACACACTCACACACACGCACGTCCGTGCACACACAGTTGTTATACATGTTGTACAACGTTCTTCTGGATCTTTACAACATGCACAAGTGTGGAGTTGTACACGGATCGGTCAACCCGGCCTACATACTGTATGACTGCAATCAATGGTCTGCCTACCTCAGGCCTTATGATTTCTCAATGTCTCCCGTCAGTTTGTCTGTGTTTGTTTATCTGTCTGTCTGTCTCTATGGATGTGTGTGTGTGTGCTTGTGAGTTTGTATGTATGTTTGTGTGTGTGTGTGTAAATGTGTGCGCGTGTTTTTAATTGTTTAGTTTTTATTGAGGCTTCTACTTGCTTGACTGATTCATTCATTTTTTCATTAGTTATTTGATCGAATAATCGATTAATTTAAATTAATTTATTTCCTCACAAATTAGCTCTCTTTCTCTTCCTCTCTTTTTCTCTCTCTCTCTCATACACACGCACATATACCGCAAACAGCACATTTTCGACAACAAACAAAAACAACATCAAACAACACCAAACATCAGCAACAACAACATCAGCAACGAACAACACAAACAACAAACAGATAGAGAGATTGAAGGAGAACACCTGGCAGGGTGTCAGATACACGCCGCCAGAGATGATGCAGTGCTATAGCAGCGTCAACGGCAGTGGTGGTAGCGTTGGTGGCCTCGCTGGTGGCTGTAGCAGTAACAACAGCAACATCTTCGTACACACCTCTGCCGACATGTATAGTTTCGGAGTGCTACTACATCTGACCATCAAATCGAAGATCCCTGGAAACAAATTCATGGACCTCAATGCCATACTCATGATGGAACCTTCTTCGCCTAAAATTGTAAATTATGCGGTAGATGGAGCTGTTTGTTTGTGATTGTGTTTGTTTGCTTATTTTATTATTTGTTTGTTTGTTTGCTTGTTTGTTTGGCTCGCGTCAATCTTCACACGCGCACACACACACACACGCACACAAATTTATGCAGGAAATGATTCAAATGCTCCTGAACAGTAATCCCAAGCAGCGTCCCACAGCCGATGCCCTCCTGAAGAGTAGTTTCTGGATGGAGGTTGGCAAGGATTACGACAAAGGAAAGGCCTTCATGGTGCGTCAGGCCATGGAAGCTGCAGAATCCAACAAGAAGGCAGTCTCCCAACTCGTCAACAACATGTGCCTCACTGATAGAAACAAACTCATCGACCGCAACAACTTCACAAGCTACCCGACCACTGGCGCCCAACAGCAACAGCCACACGCTAGCGGCGGAAACACGAAGAGCCACACAGAGCAGGACACCAAGAAGCCAAGTAGGGCGAATGAGGACGACGACGATGAGGACGACGACGACGAGAACGACGACGATGACGACGACGATGAGGAGCGCGACGACGATGAAGAAGAATATGGCGACGATCATGAAAACGTCTCGGGGAGCGGTCGAACCTGGAGCTCGTCTTCCAAAGTCAAAAGTCTAAAGAAGACGACCAAAGTGAAATTCAGCATGCAGAAGGTGAGAGAGGAAGAGGAGTCGGAGTTTGACGACGGCAACGATTACGACATGGCCGACGACAACGACGACGGTCGGACGACCGGAACCGCGGATGAGGAGGAGGAGGAGGATGATGGCGAGGGTGGGGATAATACGTCAAAGGATGCCGGGTCATTGGGCACGAAAAATTTTAAATCCCATCGAGGTCCCGGGAAGAAAACAACGACCTCTTCCGCCAGGTGATTCAATGATTGATTGATGATTGGTTGGTTGATTGGTTGGTTGATTGGTTGGTTGGTTAATTGATTGATTGGTTTGTTGATTGATTGACTGATTGATTGACTGATTGACAGGTTCCACAAGGGCAAGCAGTGGTCCAGTGACGAGCTCACTGACGAGACAGCTCCTACATTTGACAGAGGCACTGTTGATAGGAGTGACGCAAACCCCACTGAAGATGAAAGTCTGTCAGAGTGACTGTGAAATTTGTTGTCGGTCTGACGTTTCCTTGTTGTTATTTGATGCTGTACCTTATAGCTCTTGCTGGTTCTTGTGTTATGCTAGTTGAAATGAGAATGCATTGTATTTGTCGTCGTTAATTAAGATAATAATGAATAGAAATAATAAGATAATAATGAACAGAAATAAACAAGATAATAATGAATAGAAAGAATAAGATAATAATGAATGGAAAGAATATTTTTAATGATGTTATTTCTAACTCTCAGCCACAAGTTCGCTGCCTTTGCTTTCGAAGGGTCACCACTTTGGGTTCAGTTTAGAGGATAGGATGTTCGGAGTGAACAGACTACCGCCACCTGAAGATTAATTTTCGGAAAATTTTGGAAACCTCTCCCGCTTCTAATTAATTAATTAATAACCAATTATAGATAAATTGATTAATTAGTTAATTATAATTAGTAGTTTACAAATCTCCCTCGCGATTGTCTCCTATAAAATTACCTTGATTTAATGTTTTCAATGTAACCTGTGCGATTTTATCTTGAAATTTACATTTCGTTTTTTTCGCTAATTCTGTCTCTTTTTCGTCTATTTCTTATTTTCTTTCGTCTCTATTTCTTATTTTCTCTCTCTCTCTCTCTCTCTCTCTCTCTCTCTCTCTCT